GGACAATCAAATAATAAGTGTTCCGCTGTTCCTTCGTCTATACCACACTCACAGAGAGAGCTATCTCTAACCTTAATTTTTTTTTAGATGTACCGGGGTACATGAGTGGCCTAGGCGAAGACCACATAGGACCGACACAATCTGCTTGGGAGCATTTTTTTGCTTGGAATACCACGGCTTAATTGGTATAGTAGGTTGGATATCAAAATAGTGTTTACCAGCACTGTTTTTAGTATTTTCCCAATTTCTTTCCCACGATTGTATTAAATGGGATCGAATAACCGGAAGAAGATCGTGATATGCGAGTTGGGAATATGCGCGGGAACCTGTGGATATTGCATTTCGGGCACATGAATCTACTGACTCATTACCCTGTATTCCACTATGACCTGGGATCGAGCCCACTATAAGTTCTATACCTTTAATCTTGCATCTAAATAGGGCTTCTCTTATCTTGAGAATTATTGGATAGCGAGACTTATTCCGAAATGGGTTGGTAGATATTGCCTGGAGGCAGCTTAGTGAGTCGGACAGAATCAACGTTTTATTAAGGTTGTGTGATTCACAATACAGAATCGCCTCTAAAATTGCGGTGGCTTCGCCTTAAAAATAGATGACGGGGGAGGGATTTGGAATCCTAAGATTACCCTAAACTTAGGTATCCATACTGCATCCCCTACACTGCCAGTGTCTGAGGTTTTTGACGCGTCTGTAAAAACCTGGAGCTACTGCGGTCAGTTTTTGGCAATAGTTTCGTTAAAAACTTGGTTTGCGTTAGGGGAGTGTTTTTCAACACCTACATTGAGAACAACTGGTGGATTGAATACTAAGGATTCAAAGCTGTTTAAAAACAAGGGATTACAGGGGTATTTTTCGATAGTTATGGAAGGTCGGTAGAATTTCGAATAGCTAGATATTATACACAGTATTTTTTGTCGAGAGTTTGTATTAGTATTAACTGCTTGGGACAGCTTATGTAGTATGGCTAGTATTGGGTGTGAATTATTTTGCAAAATTTTGAGAAAAAATCTGTCGCTTAGATATTGTCTACGGAGGAAAAGTGGAGGGTCCGCCCCTTCAATTTGGAGGGCATTAACAGGTGAGTACTTCATTGCGCCTACTATAATGCGTAAACATTTCAACTGGATTTTGTCCATTTTATCCAGTGCCGCTTTATTGCAGGGATCAAGAAGGAAGGAGCCGTAATCGAAATGACTGCGGATAATGGCGTTATAAATCAACTTTTGGGTTTCTGGATGAGCACCCCACCAAACGCCAGAGAGCGCTCGCAGAACATTGACACACTTTTCTACTTTATTAGCAACATTATTAAAGTGAGCAACACCTGTCAATCTGGAGTCCAATGTCATCCCTAAGAACTTCACCAAGTCTTTAACCTCAATAGGGGAGTCTTGGAATTCAATGGCTGGAACTGGAACAATACGCTTCTTGGTGAAGACTACCGGACTACATTTTGGGTGGAGATGGATAGCCCGTGATCATCCAACCATTCGCCGAGATAAAATAATGCAGAGTTCAGTCGTGACGTAGCTTCTGGAATAGCTTTTACTCGAACGTAAAGAGCTAAATCATCTGCATACTGTAGGATTTGGCAAAAAGAAGTTATGGACAGTTCCATGTCATGTGTATATATGCTATACAGGATGGGACTAAGGGGCGAGCCTTGTGGTAGCCCTTTCCACACTGTTCTAGCTAATGACAGATTTTGTGACCTTATCAGGATGGATCTAGACGAGATTGAATTACATATGAAAAGAACCAATTACTCGGGAATGCTTAGCTGTTGCATTTTCTGCCTGAGCACTGGAATTAGGACGTTATCATATGCGGACGCTACGTCCGCATGAATGAAGATGACGTAAGTGATCAGACATTACCTGAACATTTGGAAGAAAATGATGAAGATGACAATTTAGAAGATAGTGAAAGCGAAGATCAAGGAAGAATGACTCTTAGAGATAGATCCTCACTGCGACCACCTGCTAAACTAGGAGACTACTTCATGACTTCAGTGGGTGATATGTCTGACTTTCGTGAACCAACTGCCTATAGTGAAGTCCTAACGAGTCTAGATAAAGAAGAATGGATAAAAGCAATGAAAAGTGAGATTAAATCTTTAGAAGAGAATAAAACCTGGACTCTTGTCGATCTACCCAAGGCTCGTAAGCCTATTTCATGCAAATGGATCTTTAAATTAAAAACCAACGGTACGATCGATAAATATAAAGCGAGGCATGTAGCCCGAAGTTTTTCGCAAACACCAGGGGTCGACTATGATGAAACGTTTAGCCCAGTGGCAAAAATGACAACCATCAGATCTGTCATAAGTGTTGCGGCAAACGAAGGACTAACGCTCACGCAATTCGATGTTTCCACTGCCTTTCTCAATGGCTCTCTTAAAAAACAAATATATATGAAGCAGCCCGAAGGCATGAGTGACGGGACTAAACGAGTCTGTAAATTAAAGCGAAGCCTGTATGGGCTCAAGCAAGCACCAAGATGCTGGAACAAGTGCATTGTTGACTACTTGAAGAGCATAGGCTTTCAACAAAGTCAAACAGATCCGTGTCTGTTCATAAAGAAACGTGCACAGTCCAAAATAATACTAGCGCTTTATGTTGATGACGGATTGGTGGCCACCACGCACCAAAAGGATGCGGATATGTTCATAGCTGATCTCAAAAGAAGGTTTAAGATAACCGCAAAGCCTGCAGAATATTATCTGGGTTTACAACTGCACCAAAATGAAGATGGCTCAATTCGCATAAATCAGAAACACTACATAGAAAAGGTTTTAGAGCGTTTTGGTATGAGCAGCTGTAAAACGGTAACTACGCCAATAATCAAAGATTCTGAGCAAGGGCAAATGAACAGAGAAGTTACAGACGAGAAATCATTTCCATATAGGCAAGCCGTTGGGGCTCTTGCATACCTAATGGTTGGATTGGAACGCGTCCAGATATTGCGTATGCCGTTGGTGTTGTTTCTAGAACACTAGAAAACCCATCTCAAGAGGATATTCTTAAAGTGAAGCGTATAATGCGCTACCTTCAAGGAACTCTAGGTTACGGAATAACATTCAAGAAGAACTACCAAAGAGGAATTTTGGATGCATACAGTGACTCTGACCATGCAGGCGATGTCAAAGATGGTCAACGATGGACAAAAGGAATGGATGGATGGTCAACCAGTGGCATCCTCTGTTTATATGCTGGAGGAGCAATCTCCTAGGCTAGTAGAAAACAGTCGTCAGTGGCAATCTCTACGACTGAAGCTGAAATTGTCGCAGCAAGCGAAGCAGCACGCGAGATAGTATGGCTACAAAGGCTGTTTAATGAGATCACCGACCTAAAGGAGACAACAACTCTAAAAATTGATAATGATGCTGCTGTAAAATTGGCTCAAAATCCGGAACTGCATCGGAGGACGAAACACATTGCTGTGAGACACTTTTATGTACGAGAACTAGTTGCAGAAGGAACAATACAGGTCAGGCACGTAGGGGCAAACCTTCAAAGTGCAGACATACTGACAAAGCCCCTCAGCAGACCGTCCATTATATCGATATTGGACCGAATTGGTTTGAGTTGTTTATAGTTTATCCTTTTTCATAGACTTAGCAAAAAGGAAGGATGTTGCGGTTGGTGTATCCATGGTTTTGTGTCATATATGAAAAAGGAAGAAGCTTGACATATAGAATAAAATAAAAGACTAGATGACTGATAATTGAATATTAGTTTTATTATAATGTAGATTTCTTTTATCTTAATAGCATCTTGCTCGGATCATACAGGCTTTAGGTTCCACCTTGACATGAACACTAAACCACCAGACCCCCGACGCATTCCACGTAAGACCGACAGCAAAAAATTTAGCTCACTAGCTACGGCCAGTCTGAAGTATCTCCATTTACCAAAGGTTTATAATAACCCTATGGAAATAGACACACGTGAATAATCTAACATCAAACTTAATCGTCTGTTATGAACAAACACACAGCAACGCACAACAGCTAAAAGTAAACACAACTGGTGGGGTCCTGAAGTGACTAAATTGCGACAAAGGGTAAGGAAAATATTCAACAGAGCTAAAACACCAGACTAGAACATGATTGGATTCGCTGCAAGGAAGCACAGTCGCGGTACAAGAAGTGCATCCGTTTCAGAAAAGCTGAATACTGGAAGCGCTTCTGTAGCGACATCCAAGACAACAATCATGCTGCAAGAGTGAAGAAAATCCTAAGCAGCGACCCCGAACGCAACTTAGGTTCTCAAACAACTCTTGTAATACACGTACAAGAGAGTCCCCCTTCAACAAATCAAATAATCATATTAGGTACATACATATGTGTTTGGTTTTCACTCACCTCTTTCAAAGAATTTCCTGATATCCATTTGACGGAGTAATATTTCCAGTTATTGCGCAGTAAATCTCCTGTCGCCGCAACTAAACTATAAGACACTATTATGGCGCATGAAATAATGAGCTCTTATTAAACTCCGAACTGAATTGAATTGTATTCGAAATTTCGAACTGAATTGCCTTGCTCTGCCTCACGATCGCGCTTATATATTGAAATATTCTCGCTCCCGAAATACGTAGAAAGTACTCGACTCTGTTGCCATCCTTGTCTCATACTTGCTATCACTATCTTTCCTTTCCAGAATAGTCCATGCTAGAACGTTCTTCTTTACTGGAAAAGTACTGTCGAGTGTCGTCGTCCGTAACTAGATAGCGCTAGCGCTAGACGTTGTTTTCTCCAAATTATATTCGGCTTTAATCCTAGATGGCTCTGATTATCTCGTCGGGAGCGGAAACTACGAGATTCGATGGTTTCGCGGAAGATTTAAATTATATTGCGTCGCTAATATATTGAATGTTGTAGAATATTTAATTATAGGTAAAAAATATTAAATCAAAATATCTGAAAACATGTTTTGTTTCCAACACTTCATTTTGCGCAGAGTAGGTAACACGTTTTTAATAGCCTTATTAGCCTGTGGGTAAATCAGGCCCTGTTTTGGGGAAATTTAAAAATCAGTTTGGGGGAAATCATAAAATTGTATCTGACAACCCTGAAGCCGACAAGCAAAATTTTTTAAGTAATTTTTTTGTACTAAAAAGTGAATACCGAAAAGTGTAGTCCTACGATAACTTAATATATTTGAATTACGTGCGAACGAGAGTAAAGCTGTAAATTCATAATTGTTAGACATGAGTATTGCGGTACTAATCTCATTGTTCAATAATTACACAACTGGACCAAAGTATGGCTTTTCACGCGATTGGCAATGATCTAAACTGTAGTAGTACTGCCGAAAGAGCCCAGGAATCTCACGTAGAGGATGACTTGTCTATAATTCCTCTCGAAAAAGACAGTTTTGGTAAGTGCACCTGATTCGCCATTGATATAATATGAATGATTAGTAGGCAAACTTACCTAAAGTGTTTACTTTTGGCAAGGGTTCTATGTCAAATAATTGGCCACGCTTGTTTTTAGTTTTATCAAGAATTTATTTTTATTATAATTATAGCCTTTTCACAGAATATATTGTATCACCAGTATTAATATTTTGCTCTGTTATAATCTGTTTAAAACAAGATCATCACTGGGCCTAATTCTGGAATTCTGGCACTAACTAAGCCATAAATAAATTTAATAGTAGCTTAACGTAACATTGATCATCAGCATAAGTCAATACATTATATTTTTTTTAGGTGATACCTTATATAAGAAAGTATACTGTTGGTAATTATTTATTCACTAACTAATGCAATGACTTTTAAAAATAGTTTTTATTCACTAAGTAATGCAATATAAATAAAGGTGTCGCCAACTCAGAGGTCCTGGGTGGCTCTGGGTTTGAATCCCAGAGCCTACCAGGTAGCAAGCAAGTGTTCATATGATCAATATGTAAACTCAAGTCATGGCTGAATCAACATACCGCTATAATATATTAAATTATATTCTATCCTTTACCCTAGTATCCCATTACACAAGCCATACAGTGCTTACCCCATGGTTATGCTAGTTAATGTGATTGTTAGAAATATTTATTCATTTTTAACTCATTTCAGCTATATGTGAATTATGTGGACGTGTTGGACGCCGTGACTATTTTTATTTAAAGAATAATAAGTTTTGTTCTTTACGATGTTCCACCAGACGTCGATATTGTAACTGGAGTTTTAGGGTCATGGAGAGTACTGAACACATGGCTGGATTGATACCTTTAGAGCCACTGCCACAGCTTCAGCATTGGCAGGTTGCATTGAATGATTTGCAGGTAAGATTTGACACAAATGTTGTCTTAATTTCCATTAATTAGTTGGATTTGTGGTGCATTTGGCAAAATGGGTCAAAGTTGTTTACTTGTATCATATTAAAATATTGACATTGTGTTTATATCTCTTTTCTTTTTAAGATAATTTTTTAGATAGACAGTGGTGTCGATTCTGACATGATTCTCTAAACCTAAACTTAAATTTGACAACAGTGTATTCTTGTCGTTCTCTATACAGAATGAAAAGGAGAGACTGATATTAAATTTAGTTTTAGGTTTAAATAATCATGCCAGAATCGACGTCATTATCTTTATATGTACTGTTAATTAACAAAATTCCTTAAAAGGACGAGGTCCTCAATTTACAAAGAATTAAAGTTCTCGTAAAGATTTACACATGAGGCCTGGGCTTAGGGGCTAACAAAACCACCCCGCACCTCTTAAATATTTGTTGCCTCGGGTCTCGCAAAGATTTATTGCCTGGGGCCTTGCAGATTTGTTGCTTGGGGCCTCGCAGATTTATTGCCCAGGGCATTGCAGCCTAATTTTCAGGGGTCTCGCAAAAAAATATTGCCTAATTCTCTCAAAGATCTACCGCCTGGAGCCTCGCAAAGATTAATTGCCTGGAGCCTCAGAAAGAGCTACCAATATTATTTTTTCCAATTTGTTGGTGACCTATATGTAATGAATGCAATTATATAATATTGAATGTTGTTTCTTTCTATGAATAACTAGTATTTCTGTTTTAAAAATTGTTCTATAATTTTGTTCCAGGCTGGACCACTAAAGCATTCAGCAACATTGGTTGCTAACAGTTATGAATGGAAAGATGAGCTTTTTGGTTGTGATTTTCTTGCTGCCCCAGTGAGCCTCTTCAAACATGCTCCACTACATGAAATGTGGGATAGCACATTTGAAGGTATGAAAGTTGAAGTTAAGAATACTGACTGTGAGAATAGTTCTGAAAAAGCCAGTGACTACTTTTGGGTAGCTACAGTATTGAAAGTAAGTATTATATTTAATTACTTGGTTTTTAAAAATAAAATGTATGCTGTGTTCAAACTATTTTGTTTATCAGTATCTGATTCCTAGAAGGCCATGATATGGTGTAGTTGGAATTTATAAAAAAAGGAATAAAAAATTCATTACTACATGGAATTAAAGGGTTGATTGATGAAGTTAACATTTCATATTACAGGTTAAAGGTTATATGGGTTTACTGCGTTATGAAGGTTTTGGTAGTGATGATACTAAAGATTTTTGGGTAAATTTGTGTTGCTCTGAAGTGCACCCTGTGGGATGGTGTGCCACACGGGGCAAACCACTCATACCACCACGCAGCATAGAAGATAAATATACAGATTGGAAAAAGTAAGTAATAAACTTTTTTAAAAATAGATTTGTTGCGATATATAAGAAAGAAAGAAAAGAGTTTTTATCAACCTATAGTACAGGATAAGAGGTAAGTATTCAGTATGGCAATACAGATCTAAGAGCTACCTCAGCATTAGCTGATGCAAGATTGTGTCAATATTATGATAATTATTTTTTTAAGAATTAGTCTTTGTAATGGGAATGTATTAAATTCTTACTAATGTTGTTTTAGATTTCTGGTCAAACAATTGACAGGAGCTCGAACTTTGCCAGCTAATTTTTACAGTAAACTCAATGATAGTTTAATATCAAGGTTTTCTATTGGTTCTATTATGGAAGTAGTTGACAAAAATAGAATTTCACAAGTAAAGGTTTGTATTTTTATATATATATATTTTTTGGGGCTTCTTCACATTCAAAAATAAAATAAAAATATTTAATTTTAACTTTTTAGGTTAATAAAAATGTAACTATGAAATTTAAAATTACAGTAGTACATTCTAAAGTATTTTTAAGAATTAATTCATAAAATTGCATGTGAGATGCCTCTGTATGGCACATCTGTTTTTAAATATCATCCAAGTATCCATTTATAATAAATTTAATTTACTTATTAGGTAGCCAGTGTTTGTGAGATAGTGGGCAAGAGATTGCACGTTAAGTATTACGACAGTTCCCCCGAAGACAACGGATTCTGGTGTCACGAAGATTCGCCTTTGATTCACCCTGTCGGTTGGGCATTTCGTGTCGGCCACCCATTGGATGCACCTCAGAGCTACTGTCAAAGAGTAGCTGCAGGAAGATTTATACCTAACGATACCACACTAGATATGTTTTACAAATACCCTACAAATGAACCTCCTTTATTCGCGGAGGGCACAAAGTTAGAAGCGATAGACCCCTTGAACTTGTCAGCGGTCTGTGCTGCTACTGTTATGCAAATATTGAATGAAGGTTACATGATGATAAGGATCGACTGCTACCCAGCAGACGCTTCTGGGGCAGATTGGTTCTGTTATCATCAGAGGTCGCCTTGTATATTTCCAGTGGGGTTTGCGCTCGCTAATAATATTCCCCTTGTGCCTCCATCTGGGTAAGTGCCAATATTATTTTTTTAAACAAAGTATGTAATATTTTTGTATAATGTTGAATGTATGTTACAGCCAGTCTTCCTACTAATTTGGTTTCAAGTTTGGGTGGACTGGGGGCTTGATAGATAGCAGTTCACGGTACTGGGCTGCGTGATCTCGGAATCTAAAGCATGCCGCTAAATACTTTTATTCCTTTTTACAATATGGCTACGGATTGAAGGTTTACTGCAGAGGAGTTGTTAGCGACCCGCGGCCATGTGGCCTCGGAATATAAAGATCCTTTTAAATCCGTCTGTTTTCGGCTCCATTTTACTTTCTTCTTTTAGTATCGCACTACAGTTTGAAGGTTTACCGCGGACACGGTAATATATTATTATTACCGTGCCGCGGAGGAGTTTGGGTGGGAGGAGCAGTATCTATCAGTCACAGGAAGGAGGGCGACGAGACAAGTTATTGCTCGCGGCTCGAGGTCAAGGTCGAAGTATCTTAACCTAGATTATTACGCTCAAAACGCGTTAATCTCGTTTTAATGTACTGCTACGGTTTGAGCTTTGATTGCGGAGGAGTTATTGGCTTCGCTGGCCACGTGGTCTTTGAATCTAAGAGATCCCGTTAAATACTCCTCTATCTTTTTTTCATGTCCTACTACTAAGATTGAATGATGAGGAGTTGTATTATTTAATGTCGCACTACTGTTTGATGATTCACCGCGGAGGAGTTTGGATGGGAGCAGTATCTATCGGTCACAGGAAGCAGGGCGGCGAGTCGGTCTCTGTTCGCGGCTCGAGGTCACGTGGTCTCTAAATCCAAAAGATCTCGTTAAATACTTCTCTATTTTGTTTTCATGTCTTACTACTAAGATTTAATGACGAGGATTTTATTTTTAATGTCGCACTGCTGTTGATGGTTCACTGCAGCGGAGTGCGGTGGGGAGCAGTATCTGTCAGACACTGGTAGCATAGTGGCGAGTCGGTCTCTGTTCACGGCTCGAGGTCACGTGGTCTCTGAATCTAAAAGATCCCGTTAAATACTTCTCTATCTTGTTTTCATGTCCTACTCCTAAGATTGAATGATGAGGAATTGTATTTTTTAATGTCGCACAACAGTTTGAAGGTTCACCGCGGAGAAATTCGATTGGGAGCAGTATCTATCAGTCAATGGTAGCATAGTGGAGAGTCGGTCTCTGTTCGCGGCTTGAGGTCACGTGGTCTCTAAATCTAAAAGATCCCGTTACATACTTCTCTATCTTGTTTTCATGTCCTACTTCTAAGTTTGAATGATGAGGAGTTGTATTTTTTAATGTCTCACTACGGTTTGAAGGTTCACTGCGGAGGAGTTTGGATGGGAGCAGTATCTATCGGTCACAGGAAGCAGGGCGGCGAGTCGGTCTCTGTTCGCGGCTCGAGGTCACGTGGTTTCGCACGGATTCGTCGCCGGAATGCGTTTAGAATGCGCAGATTTGATGGACCCGCGGCTGGTCTGCGTCGCAACCATAGCGAGGGTAGTTGCGGACTTGCTGAAGGTAAGTTATATTGAAGATAACTTTAAAAGGAAAGAAAATGTATCTGAAGACGATCCATAATCAAACTATAATGTTAGTTTTAGAAATGAAAACACGCGTTACTTTTACACTGAAGTGATAAAGCCAGCACTTTACATGGCTATTCGCGTTTGCTTTTTGTTATTTCACAATATAACTTGACATCTTAATTTCTGTGAAGATGTTTCATTGATTTGTGTTAATCACTAATGTACGACGTAGGTACATTTCGACGGGTGGGGCGCCGAGTATGACCAGTGGCTGTGGGCGCACAGCACGGACATGTACCCAGTGGGGTGGTGCCGCGCCGTCGGGCACAGGCTGGAGGGGCCGCTGCAGCCTGTGCCGCGGCACGTGCGCCGCCTACCCGCCAAGCCCGCGCGTCGGAAGCGCCGCCACCAGCACGGTGAGTGTGACCCGGCACAGTACCCGGAGTGGGGGCGCGCCGTCCCCCACAGGCTGGAGGGGCCGCTGCCGCCAGTGCCGCGTCACGTGTGCCTCCTGCCCGCCAAACCCGCGCGCCGCCATCAGCACGGTGAGTGTAACCCAGCACAGTACCCGGAGTGGGGGCGCGCCGTCCCCCACAGGCTGGAGCGGCCGCTGCCGCTGCCGCCTATGCCGCGTCACGTGTGCCTCCTGCCCGCCAAACCCGCGCGCCGCCATCAGCACGGTGAGTGTAACCCAGCACAGTACCCGGAGTGGGGGCGCGCCGTCCCCCACAGGCTGGAGCGGCCGCTGCCGCTGCCGCCTATGCCGCGTCACGTGTGCCTCCTGCCCGCCAAACCCGCGCGCCGCCATCAGCACGGTGAGTGTAACCCAGCACAGTACCCGGAGTGGGGGCGCGCCGTCCCCCACAGGCTGGAGCGGCCGCTGCCGCTTGTGCCGCGTCACGTGTGCCTCCTGCCCGCCAAACCCGCGTGCCGCCACCAGCACGGTGAGTTAACACTAACAACCAAAACCTCGTCGAGTGTTAATACAATCAAAACCACGCTTTATTACTTGCGCACTGGGCTTACTTTACGTAAATTTTAACGTTTAAACATGTATTTACCTTGTGATAGCATTGTGTCGTTGCCATATTTATGGCTCATTTAAGGCGTTATCCAGGTATAGTTAAAGTTATTAATGTAAAACTAATCAAAATAAACATTTGACGACCTCCATGGCCGAGTGGTATGCGCCGGTCGCCTATTCGTGAGGTCCCCGGGTTCGCATCCCGGTGGGGCAAAAGTTAGTATGATGAATACGAGCATTTGTACCGAAGTCATTTCTGTTATGTTTATATGTATTTTCAAATATAAAAAATACTTTATATGTATCAGTTTAGTTATTCTATCCATTACCCTAGTATCCCATAACACAAGCCTTACAGTGCTTACTTTGGGGCTAGGCTAATTATTTGTGTGAGTATTTATTTATTGAATTTATTGCAGCCGCAAAACCTGTTCCTCAACCGCCTAATACGACTGAGGAGAGTTCGCAAAACTCAGACCTGGGTGACACTAAGAGCCTCTCGCCACCAACCAGTCTGTCCGAAGTGTCCGAACGGACGGATAAAGAAGACACGCCTAATAAAATGGAGGTCGACGTGGAATCTAAGAACGGACATGAACAAAGTCACGAACAAACAGACGAAAATGAGAGACTGGCCGACGTCGCTCCAGACTTTACGGTAAGTGTACTAATTTACACAAGTTTGGGCGTTTTCATAAAAGAACGGACGGACGGACGGATAAAGATGACTCGCCCAATAAGATGTAGGTGGACACGGACTCTAAAAACGAACACGAAGAAAGTCACGAACAAACAGAAGAGAATGAGAGGCTGGCCGACGTCACACCGGATTTTACGGCAAGTTTTCTAATTTACATAAGTTTGTGGGTTTTCATTCGAGAATGGACGGACGGACGTAGAGATGACACGCCTAATAAGATGCAGGTCAACACGGAAACTAAGAATGGACACGAAGAAACAGACGAGAATGAGAGGGTAGCCGTAGTCGCTCCGGACTTTAACCGGTAAGTGAACTAATTTACACAAGTTTGTGCGTTTTTGTACAAGAATGGACGGACGGACGGACGGATAAAGACGACACGCCCAACAAAATGGACGTGGACGCAGTCTCTTATAACAGTCGCTATAGAAACTTTGTTAAAGATAAATAAATAAACAGTTACAAACAAACATACGAGAGGCTGGCCGAAGTCGCTGCAGATTTTACGGTAAGTGAACTAATTTACATAAAATAGTTCGTCTTTCATAATGATAGCATGGAAAGAGTACATATTATGGTTTTTGAAGTTTGAAAGTGACTCTTGTGACAGGAAGATTGAGAGCCAACCAGCTGTCATGGTACGGAAATGTTTAATGAGAATAGATGTATGTAACAAAAGTGTCTCGAGGACGGCTACTATGCCGCAATTACATTTGGTCTTTACTATTATTACCGCACCGTATTCGGGTGCACGGAAGACATTACTCGAATTCGGGTGCCCGAAGCAATATTTACACTGGAATATGGGCTGGAACATGGTGACGGGTAAACAAAAGGAAATCTACCCGAATACGGGCGTACTCAACTCTCACTTCATTTACACTAAGGCCCGTATTATAATAGTAGAAAGATTCTCAGTGATTGATCTAGTCTTGAGCATAGTTAGAGAGGGATGTCGCTTTAAAAAGCACATAGCGACATCCCTTTCTAACTGTACTCAAGTTAAGATCAGCACTTAGTTGTCATTCTGTAATACGGGCCTTAGTCTTTTACCCCAATTCCATTGACACTCGTAGTCAGGCTAACGACCAAGTGTAAAATTGCGCCATTAGGGTCGTAAGTAATGTTGTCCGTAACCTCAATATATTAGCCCTGTGCCTACATTAATTACTGATACCACTATACAGGTGTTTTTCTTTAATTAGTACCTAGTATGCCCTGAAATATACAATGCCAACAAAAAAAAACTAATATTGCTATTTTCTTACAGTCTGTTCCCACGGAAACATCACAAGATTCCAATGAAAATGTCACACCGCCTTCACCGGAAACGCCTCCTAGTGAAAACGACAAAGTGATACCAAGACTAGTCAATACAACAGTGCCCTTAGACATTCTCAATACTGTGGAACCAGAAAATTGGACTACAGCGGACGTTGCCAAATTCCTAACAGTAAACGATTGTCAGCCTTACTGCGTTAACTTCAGCAATATTACTGGCCCTATGATGCTGCAGCTGTCTAAAGATGAAATCATTGAACTGTTAGAAATGAAAGTGGGACCCTCCTTAAAAATATTCGACCTCATACAACAACTCAAGTGTAAAATAAAACAACCCCAGTGCAGATTACTAAGTAGCTTTAAGTAGATTTCTTATAACGTAATGCCACTCGGCAGTCGCGAAGTGATTCGAAAATATTGAATATTATGAAAATGTGGCCTTCAGATGTTTACTGTTTACCAACAGTATTCAGTACATAGTCTCTCTTGGATGAGGGCCTGAATGAATTGTTTTTTTAAGATATGTGTGAATGTGCTACCATTTTTGAAGTGTAATTTTCGTAAAATTACTAGTATTTTAGATATTGTGATTTTAGAAAGATTCTCACACGTGTATGTCAACAGACCGGCCGCGAAGGCACGGGTAAAAAAAACCTTAATTTTTAGTATACATATTTATTTAACTCAGGTATTGCACACATTTTTAATATTTGTTAAAACAAAAAAAAAAAATATTCTTATTATTTGTCTATAGCAGTAAATGAGTTTTGGAGGTCTACTTTTTTTCTCCGAAATGAACTTTCGGTAACGAAGTTCAAACGAAACTTCATTTCGTCAATTTAATGATAAACTTAATTTGAATGATAAACGATCACATCAAATTTTTGGGTTTAGAGAATCTTAACCGCAAACTTTTTTCGGGAAACCAAAAAGGAACATAGTAAAAACGTGCGAGGTTTAATTTTTCGTTGAATTAGAGTAGGCTTCCTGTTTCTGATATTTCGCGTAAGGTCATATTGTGCCGACTTACGCAAATGTAGACTTCCTACCTAGAATGCAACAAAGTGCGTAAAGTTAGATTTTTCTTTTCCACATATTGCAACGGGTACTGCCCCTCTATCACGTCACATTTCAACTTCATTTTAATAATTTTTAGTTTAGGGATCACATTCACCCTGTGTTCTGTATTAAGGCAAAGGCTCAACAGCGCACAGTGTTTTATGGAACCAAAAAAATTTACACCTTAAGATTTTTGCATAAATCAATTATTTATACCCTAATAAAGGCAAGAGTTCAATTCTCAGATCACTATTTCCTTTTAAAAAAAAGATATGAAGTAGCAAAGTTTTTGAAATTTGAGCATTAAAAAATTAACAATTTAATTTCCTCAAAAGACGGTTCCATATCTGTACATGAGATATTTGCCACTTGATAAGGAATTATTGAAGGCATAATTTTGCAATTTTATTTTATTTATAAGTGTCCTAGTTTCCGAGATTTTTTTTTTTTTAAAGTTCGATTTTTAATTTTTTTCTCCAAATATCGGCAAAAGTGGAACCTGGATTTAGTACAGAAAGGTTCTATAAGCCAAGTTCTATCACCCATAAAAAAATCAGGTTTCACTTTTGCGGTTTTAAGAAGTTATGACAGAATTTAGATAAAGGTCAACTTTCATGATCTAGGATTGTCACAAAGGTCAACTATGAGTTAAATGAAAATGTTAAATTTTTTGTTTGTTAATTAATACCGTCAATCAATTGAATAAATTAACAACACTTGTGGACGAATACGATATACTTACATATACTAGGTACCTACCTAATGTAGATGTGATAATGTAGGAATACTTTATGTTTGTTCGACCACATTTTAACTTTGTACCTTACACGCTAAACGGTAACGAAAAAATGAACTATGTTGCTTGAAAAAAATTTCAAAATTCATTCAGAATCATTCAGGCATTCGATCAAGCGTAACGAAAAAATGAACTATGTTGCTTGAAAAAAATTTCAAAATTCATTCAGAATCATTCAGGCATTCGATCAGAAAATAAAAACAAATCTTGGGCATAAATCAGTTAGTAGGTGTAACTATTATTGTTACAAAAAAAACGTAGAGGTAAGCAGGCATGAACTTGTGTCTAATTGGGTCTCCAAAACACACACAAAACAAACAATTAATAGTTAATACTCAGACCCGAAAACGAAAATCGATATTCATTATAATGACTTCCGCCTTGACTGGGAATCACCATAAGCGTTCCTTTTTTGCAAATAGAGCTTGGAGCCCATAAAAATATGTTAAAGGTACTGTAGTAAGTTCCTAAAATCTACATTATTGTAAACTCGTTCAAAACTAATACACAAATTTATATTTTAAAAATTTTCGTTCGAGGTCAGGTTCGGTGTCAACCCTAGCATAAAAATTTAAAAATGAATATCTTCTAATCGCCGCAAAAGTGACACGTGGCTTATTTATGTATGATAGACCACATCCGTAGGTTTATTTCTATCGAAGTTCTAGGTTCCACTTTTTCGTTTTTAGGGAGAAAAAACAATAAATACGAAATACAAAAAAAAAATTGCTGCTCCCAAACCAATGCATTTTTTTAAGCTAAAGAAACGCGTTTATACGCCTCTGATTATGCCCGATTGACACATATTTATTAAAAAAATATATTGATAATATTGACTTTATAAAAAAATATTCTAGATTTCATAGGTCAAAGGTCACGATAAGTTCATGATTTTTTTTCTCAAAAAGTATTTGAGTTAGACTTCTGGGAATTAAACTCATGCCTTTTTTAGGGTATAAATAATCTATTTATGTAAAAACCTGAACATGTAAATTTTTTTGGTTCCATAAAACACTGTGCAGCGCATCCTGGCACTCGAGCAGCATAGCTTCGCTTCGCGCGATATATTTCTTTGTTTAGACTAGTGAAAATTACATGAACTCCAGATCGCCCCGCTTCGCTTCGCGCGATATATTTCTTTGTTTAGACTAATAAAAATGACATGAACTCCAGATCGCAAGTTGACCACGAGTTGTCTTGTGTGGACCACGCAGTGTTGTCGTTTCAGCGACTTCGTCGCAAAGTCTTAGCGTGCTTATAACTCGGATATTGCGTAAGTACAATACGAATGTATGTTAACATACTAAGCAGACATTCGCCGCGGTGCAGTAAATTCCCATCGCTCATATAAGGTTTTAATTTCAGATCAAAATTAGTGTATGTTTGAAAAAAAGTGTCCATTGTCGTGCAAAATTAAGTTAATGCTTATTTTAGAAAACCAAGCTATGATGAAGTAAGTGATCAATATTATTACGTCAGTATTAAATTATCACCATATTTTATGTAACCATATTATATGATTCAGATCAATTTAAAAACCATGTATATTAATCCTTACTATTTTTGTTTATTCAAATAATTTTTAGCTGACAACCTGATATATTATAAGTTACACTGTGGACACAAATTATAGCATTGTATCATTTTAAAAATAAAAAACTGTATTTATATTAATTATTGCATTTTAATATAGGCATAGGCCATGCTAGGCCATAAAACTATGCGAATACCCACGATATTAAGGGCTTATTATTGCGGATTTATGGCGTAAAGGCATGTTTTTATTTCTCATTGGTGCATTCTGATTTCTGATATGTCATTCACGTGTCACAAATGCTGCGCGAAAAACGAAACGTAGTGGGGAACAACACGCAAAGCTTGTTACAGATAGTGTTGCGGCCGTATGGCCCATAACAATTGATCTGTCACTTTGAGTCAATTGATTAGGTTCAGCTTTTCATGCGAAATTCTGTAAAATTCTCACAATAAAAGAATAGAATATGGTCTGTGAAACACTTAAAATGCGGGCTGAAGACCCGAGGAGGATGCTAAAGGATCGTAAAGCGGACTTAGTCAACGGGTAAACATGGGCAGTTTAGACTAAAAAACAAGTTTTTCAAATAATCTCAGGTTATATTATACTAAGTAAATTTTAAACAAGGTAACCAACGATATTAAAAACCCTAGATACAATAATATCACTACCAAAATCTTGTCTGGAACCTGTCCAAAAGTTATATTGAACGATTCGCGGAGTTCCGTGACATGATTGCGTAGTCTAAAACGATATACCTAAGGCATTAATTATATTAATATTCAAAAATAAAAATGTAAATCTTTTGTATCTATTTGGCAGATAACGTGGGCCCATTTTCTTCCCCATTCATAGCCTTTTGGTACATCCTTTCAGGTATACGTAATTTGAAACCGTTTAAAAGTAGAAAAGAGGCATCTCGTGGTTTTTATGATAAATGAATGATATTAATGGATGGGAAATCTTAACTTTGCTTTCGATGCGATCTAGTCAGACAATAATGTTATAAACTCAATTAATATACAACAAATACGGTCGACCACCATGAAGTTAATTATGCTGCGAATTTGATTTTTCAGAAATAAAATTGCCTAGTGCGCTGTGCAGCTAAACGGTTACTTCAGACTAAATGACCAAGATATCTCGACCGTACTGTACTAAATGGTGATCCGACCTGCCAGTCGATTTTTCTATCAACCTGACTTGCATTTTTTTTTATTTATAGTGGAAAAGCTGCATTTGGGTAAAGATAACGTGATTTTGTGATTTCTGTTCAAGTTTTAAGGAAAATATCATCCTTAAACACAATATATTTATTTAATAAAACTAATATAGGCATGTATGTGAAATCATATATTATGGTCAATCTAAATCATGTATTATGATTTATATGCAATAAAATATATAATTTGATTTTTTGTCACCATTTGAAATCGAAGACGCATCAATACACCCAATAGGTACCATGATTTGGTAGAATTTACGTATTGAATTATGTTTCGCATTAAAGAGTTTTGCTATTGTTGTTTAGCAATTCGTACAAATAATGTGGGCAAGAATGGTATGAATGCTTGCTCGTAAGTGCCACAAGCCACAACCCATAATAAGGGCCGAGACACACGGCAGACTGTGTGTTGGCTAATATACGACAAGATCATTATTTCAACGCGTTTTTTTTAACTAAGTTTAACGATCGCTCGTGCGGGTAGATAGCACAAAAAGTCTGCCGAACTTAGATTTGCTCGGTATGCTGGCGAACCGACAGTCAAAGCACGTTAGTGTATACATTGTGGCTTTTCAATGGAACTTATAGCCAATAAATTATATAAATACAGGGGGTCGCTGTAATTTTATAATTTATGTGCGAATTCTCGTATAAATCTGTTAAATTTGTCATTTTATTTCTAATATAACATCTAATAGTTCACAATATGTGTAATTTATTTAAATCTTAAAATGACAAGTTGTTTCATGAAAGATGATATGAAGGTAGTGTGAAATGTAATGTCGAATTTAACGGATGTTTAAGAGAATATATGATCCTGGTGTCGATTCTGACATGATTCTCTAAACCTAAATTTGAAAACAGTGTATCCTTGTCATTCTCTATACAAAATGAAAAGTAGAGATAAAATGTTAAATTTAGAGAATCATACCAGAATTGACACCCAATACATTATTATCAAATTGAAGAATTCTTAAATGAAACATTAGACGTGTAATCCAATATCGTTCGCTGTTTTTGACTTCGGGCAACGAATTAGAAATAATATGGAATATGAACTGCGCTAAAAAGTGGTACCACGCTAACTGCGCTGAAGTGGGCGGGGCGAAAAAACTTCGATCATCACGCCGATCATGAGATTGGCTGAGATTTCTGTAACAATATCTTACCCAATGAATGGATAGCCGAATTTATATGCAGATGTTTGATTTGTCAAAGTATTTTGCTTTGTCTGTTGCGTGTTGCGCTATTATTGAAGTTTAGTTGTTTTTTTTCCCATGTTTTAGCGGCCATTGTTAGAGAGTAATGTTTCTATATAATTTCTATTTCGTTGTCTTCAGGTAATGGATGTTGATACGCACGTTGACGAGCTTTCGACAGCTATAATTGTCATATTGGTAGAGAGAGTGCGAGTATGCAAGTTAGGTGATATTGCCTTTTTAGTGACTTAAACTCCTTTAATATTTGCCAAAAGGATATTATTATTAAATGGTATTAAATAAAATTAAGATTGATCAATATGGTTGTTTTAATATTTCTTATTTATAATATTGTATTCTATACTTCCTAGATACCATTAATGTCATGGACGGATTCATATTTTTATTCCTTAATATTATTTACCAGCAGATTTCTTTGTTTGTACTCAGGTCTTGAAGTATTTTTGTGGTTATAAGTCTGGAGAAGAAAAAAATATTAATAGTCAAAATTGTAGCAATCAATATGAAATTTCTCGCAGCATTTGAAATATGTAGTCTGCCGACAAAAACAAGGATAAGATTGACAATTATATTATAAGGCTTAATAAATTACCTCATCGTTTGAATCGGCACTGTAGAAGCATATAAGACACAGCACATCAGATTGCCTGATCTTTGTGCATGGCACTTGTGGTATTCCGAACTCCAGTATGTTTCACACATGCAGTCAGCCCAGTCATCTGGTATAAAAAGGAGTCTTAATTTATATCGAGTCCTAGCAAAACTACAAGGGGAATTTTAGTAAGAAAAATACAGGGCCTTATTTTAAAACCCGGCACCCTTACATTAAGATATAGGTCAGCAGTAATTAATGCCTTTCCTCGACTTTTGCCGCACCGGGCCTTGGGTAAATACACCCCTGTATAGATCGAGTTATAGAAATAATGCGAACCTTTATCATTTTCCTTAATTTTTAGTTCGGGCGCCAGTTGTCTAGCCGTTGTGACGTAGAATGTACGCAGTATGTCTGTCCGATGTGTTCCCGACATGTTGCGGCTCTTTTGACTTGATACGTTGAGATGACGAGAGTACACACATCTCTGCTTACTTATATGGACTGCTAAAATCCTGTAACAACCTTTCATTACATTTCATTCCTAGTAAACTTTGATTTTTAGTCGATTTTATTCTGCCATGATGCCACAAACTTAAACTATTTATGTAGCAGTGATGCGAGCTCTAATACTAAATCAGCAGACTGACCATATTCACCTGTGACAGGGAGTGCGATAGGCGGCGTAATATCGTAAAAATTACGTCTTACTAATGGGCCGGATAAAATCCCAGCTATCGTACTGAAGACGTGGTGTGCTCCAGTGCTGATTCGCCTATACTCTTGCTCCTATGCCGCTGGCATACCCCACCCCTAAGAAGGGTGACCGTTCAGCCCCGTCGAACTACCAACCCATTGCTGTTACCTCTCATTTCTAAGATAAGGGCATCATCAACTCGAAGGCATTTAGGAGCACCAACTGATTAGTGATCGTCAATACGGCTTTTGCCGTGGTCTAAGGGCTGGCGACTTGCTTGCTGTCCGCTTTGATATCGCTAAGGCATTTGATTGGGTGTGAGACAGGGCACTTCTGTCGAGACTTGCATCATTTGGGGTCTCTCTTGGGTTATGCAAATGGATTGCCAGCTTTCTATTAGAACGCAGCATACAAGTTGTGCTTGATGGCGTCTGTTCTGACACTGAATCAATAAATGCTGGCGTCCCACAAGGATCGGTTCTGTCGCCCACGATATTCATCTTGCATATGAATGGTTTGTTATTAACTAACAGTAACAAACATTGCTATGGGAATGACAGCACTGGCGACACTTTTTACACTGGTCGGGCAAATATCCCTCGGATGGAGGAAGAGGAGTGTGGAGTCAAACTTGTGTCTGAGATTGAGACGTTACTGGGTCAAGTCTCAAATTGGGGCCGACAAAATTTAGTCCGATTTAACCCGATAAAGACACAAGTGTGTGCGTTCACCGCGAAGAAATCCCCATTAGTAGCAGCATTTTATTTCCAGGATCCTCAACATCTCTAAAACATCGGAATTCTAGGTGACGATATTTCGAATGAAGTGAGGTTTATAGACACCAATTTCTTACGTTACATCAATAAATACACGGTCAGGTCATAAGTATTGTCACACAGTAAAAACTTTTCTTTTAGAATGCTGGCCACAAAAAACTTTATTGAATTCGAATTTCGAATTGTTCATGAAAATAAAAATGTATACTTTTTAGAATTTTACTAATTTTTAAATATAGACGCTTAAAGAAGACCGTGTTGCAGTTATCGCGTTGCATCGTTGCGGTTATGCGCCAATTAAAATTTTTGACATACTGAAAAATTTTAATATAACCAAAAGATTCGTTTATCGTACCATCAAACGATACAATGAAGACTCTAGTGTAGACGACAGGTCAAGAAGTGGTCGACCCTCGGTCTGTTAGGACTCCAGCAGTGATAAAAGCTGTGAAGGCGCGAATTCAAAGAAATCCCAAACGTAAGCAGAAACTGTTGGCCCTTCAGATGGGGTTAAGAAGAACTACGGTGAAAAGGTTGTTAAATGAAGACTTAGGGCTTCGGGCATATCGAAGAAAAACAGGACATCGTTTGAATGCTCGTCTAATGGACCTGAGACTGACGAGATGCCGCGCTTTGTTGAAGCGGTACGCGGGAAAAAAATATCGGGAAATTGTTTTTTCGGATGATAATTTTTTACCGTACAAGAGAGCTACAACAAACAAAATGATAAGGTGTACGCACACAGTAGTAAAGAAGCGAGCAACCGTATTCCGCGTGTCCAACGAGGTCATTTTCCACCCTCGCTCATGGTATGGTTGGGAGTTTCTTATTGGGGCTTCATAGAGGTGCATTTTTGTGAGAAAGGTGTAAAAACGAGTGCAGTTGTGTTTGTGCATCAAAATACAGTCCTGACGAACCTTGTGGAACCTGTTTCTCATACCATGTTCACTAACCGGCACTGGGTATTCCAACAAGATTCGGCGCCAGCTCATATAGCGAAGAGCACACAAGACTGAGAAAATCTGAGAGAAATCGACTTCATCCGGCACTTAGACTGGCCCTCCTCCACTCCAGATTTGAGTCCGTTAGATTACAAGATATAGCAACACTTGGATGAAAAGGCGTGCTCAAAGCCTCATCCCAATTTGAAGTCACTCAAGACATCCTTGATTAAGGTAGCCGCCGATATTGACATGGACCTCGTTCGTGCTGCGATAGACGACTGGCCGCGCAGATTGAAGGCCTGTATTCAAAATCACGGAGGTCATTTTGAATAAACTTTATTGTCATAAGAATCTATGTTTTGTTAAGTTCATTTTGGTATATAAATGGTTACATAATGAATAAACTTGTTTCAATTATTTTATATTAAACATGTGACAGAATTTATGACCTACTAGGTACTATATGTAAATACTTGCAAACCATTCGAAGTTTCGCTGTCTACAAACCACTCAAGTATGGATATGCGTGAACACACGAATTAGTAATAGCGGTCAAACCCATTGATGCGCATTAACTTACCGACAGCGACGCGTAGAGTATTTTTGTCACCATAAACATTCGTGGTAATACAAAATGTTTTGGTCAGACATATCGTGGCAATGCAAAAAAAAATCACACCCTTAAATTGATGTTTTCTATGATAATCCTATGTCCTTCCACAGAACTCAAACTATCTCTGTACCAAATTTCATCGAAATCGGTTCAGCGGTTTAAGCGCAAAGGGGTTACAGACAGACATTTAAAATATATTGATATGGTTGACCAAGCTTAATGAAGTGCCCTGGGAGAGGCCTATGTCCAGCAGTGGACTGATATCAAGAAGCACACATGAAACTTACCCTAATATAGTTGGTTCAAATGATATACTCATAGGAAAATTCCTTGGATATACTAATTTGGCTTCCTTTATTGTTTGAGTATATCCTTCCCAGCACTGTAGTACAATTTCGTCAATTTGTGACAGTGCTGGTGTAGCCCCACATATCACCAGTATGTATACATCTGCTAATAGTTTGCACGTCACTGCTCTGAATGCTACCTGAAGACATATAATTTGTTTATCACACTCTTACATTATGAGGCCAGGGCAATCATGTAAAATTATTTTTGAATGATCATCATCATCAGCCTATTAATGTCCCCACTGTTAGGGCACAGGCCTTCCCCATGGATGGAATAGGGAGATTGGGCCATGACACACCACACGGACCCAGTGTGGAATGGTGGGTGTTAACGACTGCAGATGCAGCTGGAACCAACGGCTTAATGAGCCTTCCGAAGCACGGAGGAGCGTGAGATAGTAAAGTTGACGACCTCCATGGCCGAGTGGTTTGTACAATGCCAATAGCTTTATTCTGTTTAGAATTTTTAGATATAGAAGGAGGCACATTTAGTAAATATGCTACACAGATTTTAATAAATACTTACATTAGGACTAGTTTGGGGTAAATAGACTGGTGTATCTCTGAGTGGAGCTCCATCCTGAGCAGTTGTCAGCAGTAACAATAGCCGAGCTTCCCGAGGGTCTAGTTCTTGGAAATCTGAACTTGTGGCCACTATGTGACCATGGATACAAAGGCAAGCCCAACGACCTGTTACACACTCTTCATAGTGATCTAGAGCTTGCTGAAATAACATAATACTTTATTTATAATTTATCAATTATGACAACATCAACACAATGGCCTCAATAAAATTCTATAAGGTAGTGGCACCAATAACTGACAGGAGCCAATGATTGTCATTTTTTTCTGTGATCAATGAAAGTAGGTGTATGTGGCTAATCGCTAAGTATGGTAACACCGAGCTAAAAACACTTAGTGTTACTTTATTTAATAGTTGGTTGCTTTCTCTTATTTTCATTATTCACAGAAGGAAATGTCGATCATTGGTACCATTACCTTAGTAAATCCTATTTAAAAATATATTCTCACCAAAATTTTAACTTCACAATGTATTTTTCCTTCAATCATATTATCTAAGTATTTGATACTATTAATGGTATTTAAAAAAAATATACCTGAAGTTGCTGAGCTTGTGGACACAGAATACTCTGCATAAGATCCAATGCTAGTGTAGGCAATGAACTAGATGTAGTATTTGGGTCTAAGGATTCCAACAAATAATCCAAGATTGGGTAGCATTGCCTCAAGTCCTTCTTGATTTGATCAATATTTTTGAGATTTTCCAATTCCTTTTTACCTATACACAATATCATTGCATCATGTATACAAGATAAGAGCAACTCTAAATCACATTCAAGACCTCCCGTAGCTACACCAATTAATGTCACACTGAAAGTAAATAAAATATTTGATCAATGCAATATTATATCCAATGTTAGGTTATAACATTTCAGGCTTGTGGTGTATGAAAATATATTATATTTATAAAAATATTTTGGTAAATTTTGAGTGAGGAGAATCATGAGACAAAACTTTAATGGGATTATGTTAGAGTGGTAAGAAACTTGACTTCAAGTCCATACATGGGCGTAGCCAGGTACGGGCAGGGGGGGGGGGGGGGGGGCAGCAGCTCCCCCCTAGATCGAGGAGCTTCGGAACCAAAAATTAAATAATAAATAATCCAAAAACTAAAAATAAAATTTAAAAAAATTATAGAATCGCACATCACTCTCATTAGTCTCGTTACTAAAGCTCTAATTTCGATAGGAGTACTCGTAAACAGAGTAGCCACACATTGCCGGGCAACTATGGCCCATTTAGAACACAGGTTTAGAAGCATCATAAAAATAAGTTACTCCAAAATCAGTTTTTTACTAGCTAGCACAAGTCCTAAAAAGATCAAAAAATGACATCTATTCTCATTAATTGTATGTGAGACGAAATACTTAACAATCCATGTTTCACCGTGCGTGTGCCGAGTCCATCGTGTGGCAGAGAGAGAAACTCTGAGCAGTTCCCGGGCCTTGCCATCCGGTGTAGGTTTAAGGAGGCCCCCTTTGAGATACGCATCAACGCTCACCTTCACTGCTTGAGTTGCCCGCCCTTCCTAGCCAAACTTGATAGGAGTCTGTTAGTGCAGCCTTAGTTACTCGTTCCAAAATTAAACTTACTGCAGTTCTCGATAGGCCTAGGTCTTTTAGAAGGTTATAGAAAGATTTTGCTGGTATACCTCTCGCTCCTACTTCTACCGCATGTAAATTAACTAGATAGTCATTTTTGGTTAGTTCGTTGGTAAGATCGTAATATTTATTCAATTTTATTGTGAGGTATTTTGGAATGTCTCGGACGACCTCCGTGGCCGAGTGGTTTGTACGCCGGGTTTCATGGTGTCGCCGACTCGAGAGGTCCCGGGTTCGAATCCCGGTGGGGGAAGATGTTTGTGTGGTGAATACGAGCATTTGTACTCCAGTCATTGATGTTTAATATGTATTTCTATATAAATGTACTTATATATGTACAGTATATGTATTCTATCCGTTACCCTAGCATCCCATAACACAAGCCTTACAGTGCTTACTTTGGGGCTAGGCTAATTGGTGTGTGTTGAAAAAAAAAATGTTAGTACGATACAGTAAGCTCTATTAATACTTTACTTATGTTTGATGTGCCTAAAAAAGGGAATACGTCCGGTCTGGATGACGAAACACCAACATCATCTGGTACATTGTAGTGATTTTCATACATATCTTTTTAAATAGTCTAGTCAGGTTCAGTATCTAGGATTGAAAAAGGGTTGCTTTTCGAGTTTACAGTTGAGCCTTTCTTTATAAAGTTAATTTGTTTTTTATTTGTGGTTAATCCTTTTTGGGCAAATAAGCATTGTATTTTCTTTGTGCAAGTTACAAAATAAACTTGGCGGTTAATGATTTTAATAATGTTCCAGAAATAAGAGACACGATTAGCACAATAAAAGATGTCATCAACTACTACTACTGTTCGAGAATCTTCTCTACGGAGAAAGTATAAAATAAAAATAAAAATAAAAAAGCTTTTTATTCCATATCCATTGGTTACTTCTACATTTTATTTATGTTAGTTTGTTAGTAAACCTAAGTATTATGTTGGTTTTTAGTATTTGTTAGTACAGTTTCAGACATGGATCCCATCTGGGTAAAAGCCTCCTCCATTGCTTTCCACTTTTCTCTATCTTTCCCCGCCTTCAGCCAGTCCCTGCCTGCCACAGACACAATATCGTCGGACCATCGTTTTCTGGGTCTGCCTACTTTTCTTTTGCCTTTTGGTCCGGACCATCCAGTGGACTTGAGGGACCACCTTTTGTCGGTATATCTTGACAGATGACCCGCCCATTTCCATTTAAGTTTAAGGGCCTGTTCCAGAGCATCTGTTAGTCCAGTTTTGCTCCTTATGTCTGTACACCTTATTTTGTCTATTCTCCTTAATTTTAGCATGCTTCTTTCTATTGCTCTCTGGCATGTAGTAATTTTGTTTTTTATTTTATTTGTATAAACCCAAGTTTGACATCCGTACAGTAGGCTTGGTAATAGGCATGTGTCTACTACTGTCTTTTTTAGTGATATATCGAGATTGCCTTTTAGGATTTCTTTGTGTGCCCAATATTTCTTCCATGTAGAATTTATTCTTCTATCCACTTCTTCTTCGTTACTGTTTGCTCTGAATGATACCTGTTTTCCTAAATATATATATTCATTTACATATTCTATATCTTTTTCTTCAATTGTTATTGGTTTATTTTCTGCATTAGTCATTATTTTCGTTTTGCTAGGATTCATGTGTAATCCCACTATTTTACTCTGTGTGTCCAGTGATTTTAACATATTTTCTATTTCTGGAGCTGTTTCTGCAAACAAGGCAATATCGTCGGCAAATCTTAGATGACTTAGGTGTTGATTTTGTATTATTATACCTTTATTCTTCCATTCTATAGATTGGAATATATTTTCTAGGACAGCGATGAACAACTTAGGTGACAGCGGATCTCCCTGTCTAACACCTCTTTCTATTTTGATTTCTTTCCCATAGTTTTCTAATCGCAGTCTGCTTACACTGTTACAGTATATGTTTTTTAAAATATTTATGTATTTATTATTTATTTTACATGTGTTGAGTGCTTTCCATATTGAACTGTGTGTAATGCTGTCGAAGGCCTTTGTATAATCTACAAAGGCTATATATAATGGTCTGTTGTATTCTTTATACTTTTCCATGATTTGTTCTATTGTGTGAATATGATCTATTGTTGAGAAATTTGAACGAAATCCAGCTTGTTCGGGTGGTTGGAGGTTATCTATATTAGCAGCTATTCTTGCAGTTAGTATGGATGTGAATAGTTTGTAGGTGCTTGATAGTAGACTTATTGGTCGATAGTTCGAAATATCTGTGGGATCGCCTTTTTTATAAAGTAGTATGATGTCTGAGTGAAGCCATTGTTTTGGTACTATCTCATATTCTAGAATTAAATTAAACAGGTCTGTTAAGAAGGTGATTATGATTGGTGCACCGAGTTTTATTGCTTCATTACTAATGCCGTCTGGGCCTGGGGTCTTCTCTGATTTTAGTTTCTTTATATGGGTTAGTACCTCTGTTTCTGTTATGGGATCTATTGTGAGATTTTCTCTTTCTGTTGGGTGTTCAATTTCTACATTTCCTATGTCTTCTTTTGTTTTCCTATATAATTTTGTATAAAATTCAGTAGCGCAGTTCATAATGTCATTTCGGGATTTTGTTTCTTTTTTCCCTTTTTTTAGTTTTTGAATCCATTTTTCATGTGTTTTAAGGTCTTTGTACGCTCGTTTTAAGCTTCGAAATTTTGTTAGTTTTTCTTGGATTATCCTCTGTCTGTAGTTTTTGTAGTCCTCTTTAATCGATTTGTTTGTCTTTTTGAATAGATCTTTTAGTTCTTTTTGTTTTTTGCTCTTATTTTTGGTTTTTATTAGTTCTGTGCGTTTGGTTATTAAATTTATTGTTTTCTCACTCATTATTTTGTGTTTATTATTTTTGTGATTTCCTTTTTCCATTTTCAGGCTCGTTGTTATGATTTCTGCTAGTTTGTTAGAGTATGTTTCGACTTCTTTAGAGTGTTGTAATATTTCTAGGTTCATTTGTATGTTTGCTTTTAGATTGTTAAGGTATGTTGTTATTTCTTCGTCGGTTTTCGGTATTCTCGGTATGGGTTTAAATGACTTTCTACTTAGTTTGTTTGGTTTTACTTGGAAAGAAGCTCTTACTGGTCTATGGTCAGATGCAAAGTGTATTTGGTTTAGGACTTCAACATTTGTGATTCTTTTAGGTTTGTTACACATTACAAAATCTATTTCATTTTTAGTTCGTGTATCTGGTGATTGCCACGTCCATTTCCGACTCTGTTTCTTTTTGAAAAATGTATTCATTATAGAAAGTTTATTTTCATTGGCATATTCAATTAATTTTTCACCTCTTTCGTTTCGACTTCCGTATCCATATTTTCCCATTATAAGATCTTCATGGGCTTTTGTGTGTCCTATTTTTGCATTAAAATCGCCCATTACCAGTGTGGTTTTTTCTGACATATCGTTTGCTGTTTTTAAGTCGTTATAGAACTGACAAATTTCTTCGTCTGTTGATCTTTCTGTCGGGGCGTACACCTGGATCAGTGTTATAGCCTCGTCTCCAAGTTTAAGTTGCAATACAGCCACTCTTTCCGATATGCCTATGAAGTTTACTATGTTTAGTTTAAATTTTTTCTTTATTAGAAAACCGACCCCATATAGACCTTCTGTTTCTCCTATGTAGAGTAAAATGTAATCCTTGTACTCTTCAATACTACATCCCATTCTCCTTACCTCTGCAAGTCCTAAAATGTCGCAATCTATTTTTTTCATGGCGTGTGTTAATTCAAGAAATCTTTCTTCTGATGAGAGTGTTCTTACATTGTAGGTACATATCTTTATTAGTTCTTGTTTTTGTTTTTTGTTTTTATGTTCTTTGTTTTCCTGTTCTTTGTTTTCATGTTCTTTGTGTGGAGGGTAATGGTCTAATTCCCCACGGTGACCAACCGGATTGGGGAATATTGTTGTGTTTTTATTATGATTTATTTTTGTACTAATCTTATCTATTGTATTTTTTCGGCAACTATTGTTTTCTAGTTTTTTGAATTTGCTATATTCTTTACTGTTTGATTGGGATTAATTTTGGAGAATTTAGTGGGTTGTTTTACAATGTCTTCTTCTTGTACTACGGAGAAAGTATGTGCCAAATATTCCAGCTCTTTGTGCAACACGCAGGTCACAAAAAAACAAAAGTATTGCTATTTTTAACGATCATTTTGAGGGCATTCTCAATGGGCTTTTGACAATTTCTAGAGAAGGTAATACTGCAGCGAGAAAAAACGCTTACCACTTATATGTGCTGCTACCAAGTAAGAATTTATTATATCTGCTGGTTTGATAGGAAAATACTAAGGAATATTGGAACCTGTTGCCAATGCCCTATAATCATAGACAATAGACATGTATATATGAAAGAAGCATCTCAGTAACGCGGACCAGGAATTCCAATATTGTTGTCTTCGACACTTCTACGGAAACTGCAGTTGTCATTGGAACCGATTTATATATCCCGCGCATTGCATTTCGCCAACGACATCAGTCCAATCATCCTGCTGAGACTCCATGCGATTTTTGGAAGCGATCGATCTTCATCCCATATTTGGATTCCCTTATATCCGCACTGGAACATCGTTTCTTTGATAAACATATGTTATCAAAGAAACGATGTTCCAGTAGGCATATGCATGCCTTCGGATTGATGATGCTGCATCCTGATGCGATGTTGAAAATTTCATTGGCTGAATTCAAACAGAAAACACGAAGTTACGATGGGTTAGATCCTTTGATAATAAAGCTGAACTGTGATATAAACGATAGAAAGATATGCCAAGAGAACAGAAGGCGGAAACATTCTTTCCTCCAACCAGAAAATCTATACTAATTTCTTTGGCACTGTCTTGCACCACAAGGTACTTCTCTACACTGCCGTGTAGTCAAAACGTGGTTGAGGTCGACGATGCTTGATCTCTTAACATACATAGGACACATAAATGGCGTGTGTATGTTAAGTGTCCAGCGAAAGATGAAACAAGAATATTTAATTATTGTAGCGAACATATTAGTTTCACTCACCTGCCCCCCCCCCCCCCCTAAACTAAATCCTGGCTATGCCCTTGCTTGACATTTTTCTATTTGCAACTTGTATACTGAAGATATTTTAAAATTACATAATTAATAATAAAAGATTAGAGTACCTCTTACAGAATTCCTTCCAAAGTATTTTTCCATTATCTACATGGGTATTTATCATCGTTAAATTATAGCACTTACTAAACATATTGATTCCATGGAGGGAAGCAATAGTAGAAAACTGGACCTTTGAAGAACGAAAATGATGCTTATAATTTATGCAATACCCATACTTTACAAGAATAGGTCAACTGAAAGTTCTATTTTAAATAAAAAAGTTTGTAACTTTTAGTTAGATCTTACATTTTCACTGTTCCCACGTTTTCTTGAAAATATTGGCACTCCACTTTCTGTAGCTACAGCAATAACAATAACCGACATGATTATATTACTTAAATATATTTCTAAGTTAAAGTTTCTTCCTAAACATCTTTATTTGGTAAAAATATACCAAATCTAACTCCTGAACAGTGTTTCCACTTTAATGATTTCCTTTCCCCACGCCTCAATGCAGACAGTGTGACCAGATTAAATTTTACGAAAATACCGAGGCACCTCATAAAAATACTGAAATATACCGACTTACTTAGGACAGATATACCAATAAAAATACTGATTTTCTTAACACATTTTATTTATTCATACGTACTCACAATAAATGTTAGAGTTATATTTTAACATCCTTTTCGAAGGATTAAAATTTACACAACCTCCTTCATTTCTTCACGCTCTATCTAATAATGCAAACCGCATTAAAATCGGTCCAGCAGTTGTAAAGTTTTAGGCGAACATACATTCTGCAAGTCTGATTAATACTATGTATTGATTGATAATTGTATATGTAGTATTACAATACTACAACGCCGACAACGGCCGTCTTTCTTGTCATATCTGTAACTTACACATAGACAGTGTTGCCAACCTCAAAAAACTAAAAAACCACAACTCGCCTAAAAAAACAGTAGAAAGCGGTAGGTAAAGAAAAAAAGGCAGATTTCATAATTTTGCTCATATAATTAAATAATAAACAACTTTCTTAGTTACTAGAACTCACATCAATTGATATATTTATAATCACAGCAACATAAAACAAAAATCAAAGTAAAATTATTTTTCAGTTTCATTTTCAATTGCCTCATCTTCAATATTTTCACACTCATTTTTATTTTTAAAATCATACATGTTTTTGTTGAATTTCTTCATGTGCTTTTCTGTGGCTTTGAATGAATAGCAATCAGTTATTTCGGATTTAGTGTGTAATACTGCTTTAATAGTTGTAGTCGATATTCTATTGCATAATTTGGTTTTCATAATATTTATAGCAGAAAATAACCTTTCCACGGCGGCGCTGCTATGTGGTAGGCACAAAAGCTTCTTTACCAATTCACACAATGTAGGGAATGTTTGAGATTCGTCTCCATTTCTTAATTCTTGTACATGTTTCTAAAAGTCGATAATATCGGGAGTTTTGTTTTGGTCGAAAGAAAAATCGACATTTCTTAACATTCGCCATTCTCTATCCAGTTCCGTTATATTATTTGGACAAATCTTTGGGAAGAAATAATGTAAATCTGCAATGGAAGGGAATTTCTTTTTTATTTCAGAATCCAGAATTGCTTTAGGATTTAGCATCTTCAGACATTTTAATGCTTGACGGTCTTTGTCGTCAAAAGGAAACCTTTTTAATATCTGTTTTGCAGCCTCGATATAAAACTCCTTACACTTTAAGTAGAAAATTTTCAGCTGTTCTTCCTCTAGTTCTCCTATTTCTCTCTTTCCTCTGATCAAATTTGGCACCATTCCACCAACGTATATATGTTGCATCGGTAAATGTTTCTGCTCACTCGAGAAGTCAAGGTTTAATATTTTAGTTTCTTTTGCGTGTAAAATATTTTGTGCTTCATTTTTTTCTTGTTCAGTGAGATTCAAATATTCAGCTTGTACAAAGCATTCCAAGATCGTTGTGTATGCGGTCAGTATTTTGTCGTATAGTTAATATAATTTCGGAGTCTCGGATTACATTTCTTTATTGAGATCGGTAAATATAGGTAATGCAAATTTCAAAAATTCCAGGTACAATTCAGTTGTCGTTCAAGAGCCTTGGAGAGAATTGATTGCGCAGAAAGTAATCTATCTACATGAACTGTAGCTTGAAAATACAATTTTATAGCTGGTAATTGTTCCAGAAGCCTATTTACTACCTCAATAAGCGACAACCATCTGGTTTGGCTAGGGTAGAGTAATTTGTGTGGAGGTGGCGCTGAACGCGAAAAACAGTAGAAAATAGGAATGAAACAGAAAACATGGTCATCAATGTGAAAACAGCAAATCTACTGTTAAAACAGTAGGGTTGGTAACGCTGCACATAGATAACATGTATAAGTATAGGTAAACTAAATCCGGGGAAGTCCCCAATGTTCGCGTTCCGGGGAATTCCGATAACGCTGTCGCAAAGACGATCACTCACTACGGTGTTGCCATAACTTCTACCAAAATATACCCAAAAATACTGACTGCCAGCAATATACCTGAATATATACTGATGTTAGATTTGGCACTAGTGTTTGTAACTAAAGAAACAAATGGTCTTAATCTATCTTATTTTATAACAGATAAATAAAATATATAAAATCGTACACGTGTTGCCATAGTTTCTTTTATACGGCAACACTCTAGTCCACGGTATAGTCCATAAAAAATTTGTTCCGTGCAGCATTATTTTAGGCTAGGCTTTACCCATAATTTCCCCATTTCATATCTTTCCCCTTTTTCTTCCCCTCTGGACCCTAATTTCCCCTTAAAAGGGGAATTTCCCCTCATTGTGGAAACACTGCCCCTGAAAAAACAAAACAAACAAGGAGTTTTTGGCGGGATTTCATCGAGTGTGGTTGGCGTCTTATTTTAATTATTCTTAAATTCGTTCATAGTGGATATTGTGAAATAAAATTGGTGTGATTTTGTGTTACAACTGTCTGCGTAACTGAAGATTTAGTAGAATCGTCAAAATATACGCTATTCCGGTCAAGTGGACGTGAGAATTTTATTGTAGTATTGACTACCTCACAGAAGCTTATCGAAAAAGCCAGCTCGATACATTTCGTGCCAAACACTTCAAGAAACATTAGAATGCATCAAAATTGCACATTCTAATGTAAAAAGAAAAACAGAATAATTTAATTTATGACTAGGCTGTATGGGCATTGCTCCCCTTGCCTTCCCTGAAAAGGGAGAATATAACAAAAAAAAAACAAAACAAACAAATTTTCTTTGTTTGTTTTTTTAAATTCTTTCTTTACGGGAAAAAAAAGGATACTAAGTACATACAGCTTCTTTCTTTTATTGATATATAAAAAAATTACAAAATCCATGTTCCATACAGGCAACAACGATTTGGCTTCTTTTTAACTGACTTCGAAAAAGGAGGAAGCTGCTAGTGCGAAATGACATTGTCAAATTTTGTATGAAAACTTGAACAGCAGTGCCATAACGGACATAACGAGAACTAAAAATCAGTACACTTTTGACAATGACATTTCGTACTCGAAAACGTTACAATTTCGATATTGGTTGGTACAGTCAAAACGAATTAAATAAATAAGTACGTACTTATTTTTTTTATTTGGACACAATAAGTAAACTTAAAAGCTTTTAGTGTTGTAATCTCACAGCTGTGTTAATGTATCACCAGCAACTTCAATATCAATTTCTTTATCTTCATTTCTTTTAGAGGGAGCTGAAAAATAATGTTAATATTGAGGAAATGTAAGTAACATGTTTATGCTTACGTAAGCTGATTATGAGAAGGAAACATATTGTTTTTCTATTATTAAATAATAATAGATTGGATTGGTATATGTACGTTGTTGATATAATTTGTTTTTATTTGAAATCAAAGGTCACAATTAGGTCGTTTCCATTATTCACAGTATCAATATAGAATAGATATGTAGGTCTTCAAAACTGTAAGATGGAGGTTACTCTTCCAGACGGGGGCTCCAATTCGAGCGGCAAATCCGCTATACCCTATCTCTCCTAAAATGCCTTCAGGGTAGGCAATACATGAGTTATAGGATGTCACCATTGAGCATAAAATATATATCATTAGCTCATGGGTGTAACTTATAACCGTCAATATGCTATGCTTACGATCAGAGTGCGACATAATGCTTGTAACTAAAATACTCGCTTGTTCACAAGATCCTCGCTTTTTCACCTTTAATGATGAAACGTTTAAAAAACTTACTATCATCGTCTTTGTTGAGCAGCCTCGGCCCTGTGATGGCTATAAGAATAGCGCCTAGTGGTGCTGATATAACAACACTCAATACGCTGACAGCCAGTAGTGTCTTCGCATAATATTCCTCGTCAGCCAATGGAGAACCTGCCGTTTTCCCATTATGTACTAAGTCTAACGCTGCGGGACCTAGAGCTGCCTAAAAATTATAATCAAATAACTATATTGTTAGGCGTCGTCCTAATTGGCTACGATCGTACGATGACACGATACGATCTCATCGTGTGATGAAAATAATGTACCTGAGCTCGTGCGATGGCTTACATGCATGCGTCAAAGAGTTATGACAGTCCGAGATGTAAGCTCGTAAAATTTTACGACTTATTGCTATATGCGGAAGAATATAGACCTTATCTCTTTGACTCTACTCAATGCGCAGGTACGGCCCGCGAGGAAAAGAGACGGCTATATTACCGACCATGCATTTGAATACCACAAATATTTTCTATTAAATTAGTTTATAGTAAGTATTAAAACAAAATTTGCTGCAAATGCGTTAAATCAACAAACATTGATTAGATACTTGTCGATAACACGACATTTTAGATAGGTACTATAAGTATTAATTTCGCATTGATTCACGGACCTCAGCCACATATTGACTTTTCAACGGTCCACACGTGACTGTGAACCAAGAAGTGCTTGAGTCGTGTTCAAGCACTTCTTGATAAGGACACATTTTGAGCGGACGTGGTGTATCTAGGGTATTTAATATCGTTGATCACGACGCAATGTTTTTGCAAGCTTAAAGCACGTGGTTTTGTTATTCCGTGCCTTATTTTCTTTTGTTCCGAAAATAAAACGCTTTAGCTTTTTGTGCATAGAGTCGGAATTAATGAACGAAGATTACATAAGACGATAACATCGATGATTCTACCAACAAAAATCGCGCAAAAAGGTATTGTACCGGACTTATATAATTTAACCGAGTTGGTTATTTTTAATTGTTTACAAGCGTAATATTTTTTACCCCGGTCGTGTATGATTGAGCTTTGATTAGCTCAAAAATATAACCAAAAATTAATCAACAAACAATTTCAACGAAATTGTTGAGGCTTGTGTCAACTAACAATAAATCGAATGGGTTAAAGTTTATAAATATGAATTATGATATACAGATAACAAAAAATAAAGCTATTTATCATAATAATTAAAGATTATTATTATTTTTAGAAAATTAATTCGAATAAAATAGGCATTAGATCACGTGACGGCAAACACCAATCAGAAAGACTGACGTCACCACGTGCAAAACATTACTTGTGTTTGCCGTTTCCATACATTTCATTGATATCTCATGTATGTTATTGTTACTTTGATACAATTTATCAGTTTGTTTTCAGATAATTATTGAAAGGAAGCCTAATATATCCATGGAATTGGGATTTACCGAAGCAAATAATAATATTTTATCCAAAACAAAAATTAATCGCATAACTACTCGAGATAATTAAGCATCTCATTTGCTAACGAGAACAAGAATAAAAAGTGTTTATTATTATATTTCATAGATTATGTTATGCAAAATACTTACATCAAAATATTCATCACAAAATTATTCTTGTATTTGTTGATAAACAATGAATAATCCCTCCTTGTAAGTTCTAACCATTTTTTCCTGGCATATAAATAATTTGCCTGGCATATGTTTGTCCTATTACACTAGGACACTATGCAGTACTTGTAATACGATGGATTCATTTTTAACTAAATAATTTTAATATTGTATTGTTTGCTTTGTACGGCGTGACGTCATTCAAGACACCATGACAGTCTAGAGCGTTTTCGAGGGAAATTTGAATAAGTTTTTTAATATACAAAATACATATTGCTAATGTACTTTTTTATTTAAAATATTATTTTTTTTGGGTTAAATAAACATCAATGTATATGATTAACTACTTTTTAAAATATAGGCAACTAGCCTGCGGCAAAAACTGTAAAGCCTGTACCTTAAAAAATTGTAAGTCCGCCACTGCGACCGTTGGCAATTAGGACGAGACGTCTAATAGTGGTTAATAATAAGGTAGTAAGTAAAATTAGACGGACATTTATTTTGAAAGTAAAATTAGACGGACATTTATGAATTACAAAACCGTTTCGGAATAAAAATGTCTTACTTGAACAGTTGCTTTAGCCATCCACGTTAGGCCGATAAACAGCTTTTCTTTATTATTGAGGCCGCATCCGTAGCTTACGAAAAATGTGACGATCACACGCAGAAAAAGGCACGAAACAAGACATATAGCACCCATTTTTATTACTTGGAGATCCAATGTGTTTACCTGTTGGTTTGAGATTAAACAGCTTATATTTTGTATTAGTGACCTACCCGCCCTTTGCCACAGTATAGATTGTAGACTATAATTTCGTTTTTTTATTATAACTTTTTAATTTCCGTGAAAAAAAATACATTGGATGAAATCTAAAAGCCCGTGCTATAAACTGCATCAAAATCAGTTGGTCTGTGAATAAACCAACGTGGAAAGAGACTTTATTTAATAAAGTTAAGTGAAAATAGCCACAAATAGGAACTTCGAACTTCAGGATTTTTTATAGTATCCAAAAAAATACTAGCAATAATTTTATCTGTGGCAGTGTATCATGATATTATGATCATATCATGATGGTGCCTTTTTATTTCTATTTAAATTTTATTAAGAGACGATAAATTCAAATAAAGCGCTAATAAAAGTAAAAGTACTTTTTTTAACTAATGAGAATTATTACTAGGTCAGCAAATCAACTCAAATCAACAGTATAATGATCTAATAAGACTTTCAATTACTAAATATACTTTAGTTTTTTGAGATTTCCATAGGAATATAACATATTTCCGGGATAAAAAGTATCTTATGTTTCAGTCCTGGCCTAAACATTAACATGTAGTTAATTAGCATACCAAATTTCATCCAAATCAGTTCCGTAGTTTTTTGTGTGATTGAGTAAAAAATTTACAAACTATATGTGAAATATATAAATATTAGTAGGATGAGAAAATTCAGATAAATATCAAAGAGTTGTTTGTGTTGTGTGGTTTGGAATTTAGATTTTGTAAAAGTACTTTTTAATCGTTTACTACAGCGATGATTGTATAACTTAAACATTTAGATAGCATTAATAGCTCTATCTTATCACAAGCTTAAGATTCAAAGGCTTACCGTTATTTGAGCACCAGTGAAAGCAAATAGAATAGGCTCAAAGAAAATCCACAGGATTCTGAAGATATTGCTAACTGGATGTTTGTTTATAGGCCAACCTTGCGTTTCCCAAAAGTATGCTGCTACAAAACCGGACGATACAATAGCTAATGGCCCTAAAATAAAAAAAAGGCAATGATGAGTAGTTCTAAGTAAGAAATTATGGTATGATTAGTACAATAGGTACCTGCACCGCTCCATTCAATATAACCAGATATAAATAGAGAAAATAGACCACCTAAGAATAACATAAGAAATCTCAAGGGGACAACATACGTGTCTGCTTTCTCTGGTACTACTGAAGACAAAGCACCCCACAACGATCCAAATACTATGCCGGCTATTATTGATAAAGGACCCTGAAAATCAGAAATATCTGAGAGAAAATGATCTCACGAATATTAAGGGTAAATCTAAATAAATTTAAAATATAGTACAACAGTAGTTATCTTCTTGTGTATTTACAGAAATTTGTGAAGAAAACAATTAAATCGACCAAAATACGGATTAAAAAAAAATCAAGCGTGCGTGCATAATAATTAATTCAAAATATGATAAATTCTCCTATCTATCAAGAAGATACAACAGGGTGAATTATAAACAAATAGCAAAAAGAAGAGGTTGTAAGAACTAATGCACATCAATTTACCTTGATGATATTGAAAGTGGTTGATCCAGATGAAAACATAGCGTTTAAGATAATGGCAAATATGGCAACACTGATGGAATCGTCGATTGCTGTGGCAGCCAAAACCAATGTGGGAATACCCTTAGAGACTCCGTAGCCAACATCTCTTAGCCTGAACAGACATGGTACCACAACTGCAGGGGACACCGATGCTATCATAGAGCCTAATAAAAATGCTGAGGAACATAAAGATTTGTTATTAAGGTTTAAAAGGTGTACTTATCTAGGTATATGAAATCGGAATCGAGACGGCACTCTATCGTCTTTCACTTCGCCGTTCACCAGTCGACTTTATTGTAGCCAGCAAAGTTTTCCAATCTATACGGAGATTTGAAGATTTTAAATCTTTTAAAAGAGAGCGTAGTTATGTATATATATATATATTTAAGCATTTAACTACTAGATGTTTAACTGTAAAGAAAATTTTACTAGAAAGAAATCCACACGGACGAAGAGAGCGTATTCATTACCGCCTCTAAAGCCTGATAAAGCATTTGTGATACTTTTGGTGTACGCGAGCACATAACCGTAGCTGATTAGCAACTGTGGTACTTCCACCTGACTGCGGGTGGGCATCGGCGCTCTTACGAAGCCGATGTCGAGCTTATAGCTAGGTGTCTCTAGGCGTCAACTGATGGACAACTGTTTGCTGACTTAAAACCAGTTTTAAGAAGAAATGTAAGCAGGTAACGGCTAGATTTAAGTGGGTGATTGGATAGATGCAAGCGGGTGGACAGAGTGTACTCGTAAGTTTGGCGACCGAAAGTTGACTACGCGTCCCGCTTGCTGTTTTCGAGGCGATTTTAAGGCGAGTTTTACGGTGCTGAATAGTGCTGCATGGAATTTCATCCAAAGTATAGTGAACGGCTCTAGTTATAAATAAATACTAGCGGACCCGACAGACGTTGTCCTGTCTACACGTCTTTGTGAATCTAAACCATTCTCAGATCCCCTTGAACACACACAAAATTTTTTATCAAAATCGGTCCAGTCGTTTAAGAGAAGTTCAGTGACATACAAACTCACAGAAGAATTATATATATAAAGATTTTTAACACTCACATCAATTAGCCTAGTACCAAAGTAAGCACTGTATGCTTGTGTTATGGGATACTAGGGTAACGAATAGAATACATTTACTGATACATCATCAGCCTATTAATGTCCTCATTGCTGGGGCACAGGCCTTCCCTATGGATAGATAAGGGAGATTGGGCTGTGAACCACCATACGGGCCCAGTGCGGATTGGTGGGTGCTAACGACTGCAGATGCAGCAGGGACCAACTGCTAAACGTGCCTTCGAAGCACGGCGGAACTCGAGATAGAAGATTTTTGGTCACCCATCCAAAAATCATGTTGAAACATATATAAGTAATAGTAGTAGTAATATGTAGTAAGTTATGGCAGTGCCGCAAGCCGATTCGTCCCGATATTATAATGTTTGGGCGATAATTTTTAATTAGCGTTGCTACTGTATTATTGTTGTGCCACGATTTTATCGATGATAAACAGCGTAGTTCTGAAATGTTCAAGGATAATTTACGCGGTCAAATAATTTGTGTTCTGAATTTTCTTTTGTTACTAAAGTTACATTACCCCAAATCCAAGGTAGTTTTAATAAATAATGTGTTGTCATAGCTATCGCTACGCACTCTGCGATCCATGGGAGAAGGCCGAGTTGCAATACAGCTACATAGTGCTTCTTCAAGACACTTGCCTGAAGACCAAGTCCGGCACGGGTTAAAATTATAACTAGTGATATTTTTCTGAAAATAAAGGTAAAAAAGTATTAACTCTTCAATTTGAATTTAACGTAAAAAGTTATAAAGTGAATTAAGTTCGTTAATTTTAAAATTATGTTTCACAGAACATAGAATCTTCATTTTCAAATATCAACGAAAGTTAAAAGTGTAGATACTTTATCGGTGTTGTTAAGCAGTTCATTAAAATGAGATTTTTATCACATTATGAGATCGTAAAAACCTGATTGGTCTTCTAAAAATTACGTACTTATTTTTCGTTTCAATTGCTACAATTTCATTAATCTGAAGCTGCCATGCTTTTTTCAATATATTGTTAATAAAATTCTTACCTCAGATCTTGATTTAGTTTCCTATATTCATCCGTCATGTGCACCAATTGTAAGTTTTGAAATAGTATTCCTGTTAACAACATGCCTATAAGGGCTGGCAAAGTGGTCAACTTCAGCCATACCCAACCCACTAAATAGGCGGTAATAACTAACATTGTCATGCTAAATAACTCTCCTCTTAAGCTGACTGCTTCGCCAATTTCAACGTATAAAAATGCCCATATGAGTAAAACTGAAAAGTTAAAGAAAAGAGTTTAGTCAAGATGCTATCTTGAAGTTATAGGTGTCTTTATCTTATTGCCATGTTACAGAATGTCGTATTGCTATATACAAGATTGGTAATTGTACATATGTGTCATTTATTTATAAAGCAATTGCATTTTTAAGTAATGGTAATTGCTCCACAGTTTTACATTGGATAAAAAATTAATAAACTTTCTGAAGCGAATGAAAATCAGACTTACAAAATAATATTATGGATATTTGCTGCGCTGTTTGTCGGTACGTGGAAAAGTAAGGGTATGGACAGAACTTTCCCCACCACCGGGGCTGCCATGACGGAGTAGGATCTGCCTGGTGACACCGCAAACACAATATCTCCCACCAGCTGAAATTGAAATTATCATTATGAAAGAATTCCAATTATCATTTCTAATTCGTAGATACGCCAATAGTAGAAATGCGCAACATCTCTATGTTATTATAACGTTTTCACCCAAAAACTAATTCTGGTAAATTTTGCTACTTGCATAGATAAATGATGTGCTCGATGGCACATATGGTTAGGGCGATCGGTTTGCGATTGTGAAAGTTAAGCAACTATCGCAATGGTCGGTCATAGGATGGGTGACTATATTTTTTATCTACAGCTCCTCCTTAAGCTGTTGTACCCGGCTATATCTGCAGTTGTTAGCATACACCAATCCGACTGGCCCGAGTGGTGGGTGGGCATGTCATGGCCTAATCTTCGTATTCCATTCATAGGGAGTGCCTGAGTCCTAGCAGTGGGGCCATTAATAGGCTGATGACGATAGATAAAGCGGATTCGGAGAAGAACATTTGTATGATGAGCAAGTAATTATGCGCAGATAAATATATATTAAATAAATAAATTAAATATTTCCAACACTCACCCCAATAATTAGCCTAGCCCCAAAGTTAGCACTGTAGGTTTGTGTTATGAGATACTAAGGTAACGGACGGATAGAATACAGATAACATATATTAGTATATTTATAAAGTAATACATATTAAACATCCATGACTGGAGAACAAATGCTCGTATTCATCACGAAGACTCACCGGGATTCGAACCCGGGACACTTTGAAACTCGGCGTACAAATCACTCGGCCACGGAGGTCGTCAAAATGCGGGAAAAAACAGTACCTACCCAAATAATGGAATTTTGAGCCTAGGTAAAGAATAGAATTGAAATTACTATTGAAATATGACAATGTTTATAGTCATTTTAATATATATTTCTTTTAATAGATTGATATTAATAGGTTTTACAAACTAACAGTAGTGATACAGATTTAAAAATAAATTAAGTAGTTATTTATTAATTATTAGTTCTTTTAATTATATTTCACTTACGGTTTCTTGTGTTTCTGCCTCTTATTAATTTTGTCTGCAAATAAACAAAATAATAACTTAAAAGGTAAGCATGATTTCCCCTTTGTAGCTTATTTTGAACTGAATGGAATAAAGGATAAATATATAAGTGCAGAATGAAAATCTATAAATAAATATGAAAATAAAAGTAGTAAAAACAGGTAGTTTGTTAGTGATAATACCTAATTAGGTAATATTTTTTGGTACCAGTAGGCATTTTTAAAACTTCTCTTTTTATTTTTATTTTTTTGTATTAAGTGTAGCGTTTTAATTAGATGTGCAAAAGAATTGAACCGATTGCTTTTTTCTTAAATCCTGCCTACCTTCAACATCTACTTACCATGCAGTTTCGAACAAAGAATTTGATCGAAAACAGATATTTTATTGAAATTTTTATTCGATAGCATAATTTACATTTTCTTTACTTACATCTAGTTAAATATATTTTACTCTGATTTATTGTCGAACCATAAGTTCATAAAGATGCAGTTGTTAGATGCGGAGCTTAGTTATGACCTAATCATGTTTTTAAAGACTATGAATTAAAGAAAATATAACTAGAAAAAATTCCACGCAGACCAGGCAGCAGACGGGACTCGAACCCAAACCTTTCGTTATCCGGGCGAATGCACTGACCAAATATGCTACCGCGGCCCTGACGACCGCGACGAAATTCTTCTAGCGATTCTTAAGCTGCAAGGCAGCGCCATTTCTTCGCATTGTAGGTAACCCACAATGTCAGATGAATACTTTTACAAGTATTAAACGACGAAAGAATTTCAATTTGAAAGAAGAAATAAATAATTGTATTGTAATTGTATTTGTATTGTATTGTAATGGCGGTAGCATAATTGGTGAGTGCATTCGCCCGGATAGCGAAGGGTGCGGGTTCGCGTCCCGTCTGCTGCCTAGTCCGCATCGATTTTTTTCTAGTTATATTTTCTTTAGATTTAAACATCAAGCAGGTACTTACATGCTTAAAAAATAAAAATTATGACTATGAATTAAGTATAAGTAGCGGCACGAATCTCTACCGCTGGCCGTTATTACGCAGAGGTAAAAATTAAGATGTCTTGAGGGGAAACGAGGTGCGCGGGTGGGCGTGCGTTGCGCCCAAAGAGTATGGTAATATATAGGGGAGTTGCGCCGATTGGCTCTCCAGTCGTGCCCATACACTGCTATCCCCTCCGCGTTTTCTTCAGCGCTAGAGTTACGTGCCGCGACCTGTAGGTACTTTCACATTAAATATCACAAAGGAGGTGAATTCAACAAATGTTAATCTGAATTAGGTTAATTCACATATCCCGCATGCACCTTAGTTAAAGTAAAAGTATTGTCACGAGCAATGAAGTACTTAGGAACCATGGAACCGTGCTAAGTTGTGAGTTGATTTGATGACATTTTATTATCTTGTCCCCACCCAAAACTCCCAAAGCAGAACCTTGGGTTGTTTAAGATTCATAATATTAAACTTTATCGAACATAGCGTCCTAGAGGTAAGGCCGCCCCTTGAACATCCATATTAATATTATAAGTTTAGACAGCTGAACCGATTTAGATGAATTCTGAAGTAGAGTTAGTTTGATTCCCGGGATAGGACATAGGATAATTATTATTAAAGAAATTATCCTTGGAGGTAATGAAAATGGAGGGAAATTTGTATGGAAAATCAATTTTAAAAATGATAGCTTTGATTCCGTATGTGTATTTCCAAAAAATCGAAAATGGTTCACTATCCTATGATCCTAGTTGAAGTTCACAGTGAATCACCGTTGTACACGGTAATCTTATTATACTTAAACAGCGTTATCAGTATCAAATCAGAATAAAATTAAAGATTTAGATTATTAATTAAACACATTTTTTCAACATAAATAGTTTTATTATAAGTATTACTTAATTGTCCATCTACGTTAGATGATTATATTTAGACGAAGAGTGCGCTATGTTTTTAAAACCGTTGATTTTTTTATGATTCAAGGAAGAGTAAGAAAAATTTAGAATCAAGTAAATCACTTGTGTTATTGTTATATTAAAATCATACTCACGCTTTGCCCGTAATTACCTACGGCAACTAAGGCAGTTCATACGCAACGTCTAGCTATTTAAACTCCAAAATTTGTAATACCGTAACGTTACATTGCTTTAATATTTAAAATGAATAGGACAAAAATAAATTATTTATTATTTAAAAGAAAGAAAGTTATTTATTATGAGCAAAACTGTTTCAAAGTGCGTGGATAATATACATTACTTGTTTCGTTATCCATTTTAGGCAGGTACAGCTCTTTATCTGTAACAATATGAGACAGAAGAAATTATGTTGTATAATTAATTAAAAAAGTTTCCTATACTTACTTTAAATTTTATAGGTTAAATACTATTGGGTTTATAACTCGATTCCCTTAAGAATTTCCCTTAGCTTCATCTTAACGAGACGCTCGCGCTGACGACGCCATATTTGGCATTGCATTTAGGGCTCGTGTATCTAATCCACTATCGGAGGGAACATGAAGCCAGTTTGCGGATTTCCCGCTGGATTTGGAGCGCTTGCTGGTGAGAAAACCGCCAACTTACGGAAGTTCACACACAGGAAAAGCAACACTTCCTTTTGACGGTGTAATTTTGTGTTGAATGAGTTGAGTAGGTTTCAGGGTTCTACGGGGTTCCTATGGGATTAGGATCTGCCTCGAAAAGTGAATATATGGAGGAATCGGAACTTTTTCCTGCCGCGTTAGTTATCTTCCTTACTGGACTCCATTTGCACTTAATATCAGATGAAGTGAGGTAATTTGCTGCGGCGCCGTAGATAAAAGAAAACGAGCGGGCCTTACAGTAGTCGCGTATGAAGTGTAACATTTGAAACCTCACCTTATATTAGTAAAAAAAGAAATAAAACCTACTACAAAAGGAATAAGCCATTTGAACTGTATGTTCTAAAATCAAATCAAATAGCGCGCGCTTTCGCGACTTCCTGTTACATACTTCCGTCCCATTTCACAAAATCACTCCCACAAATTGCAGGAAAGCTAGAGGAAATATGTTACACATCAAAAAACTTTGTAAAGTTTTAAAATACATAAGATTATTACACCTTACCTAGTAATAATTTAGTATTTGTTTTACTATTAGATTATAACTAGCAAACCAGTGAACCAAATGTTGACCAAACCTGATTTAAAAAAAAAATGTATTTAATAAACTGAGAACTTCGAAGATTTTGTGTGGTTTCGTTTGAAATTCGTGATTTCTCGAAAACCGGAAGTGCTACGTTACTCAAATCCGGTTTGTAGTCTTATCAGACTATTCTTAACTTATAACTTAAACATTCTCTTTATCTATCTCTTACGGTTTGGCCGCTGAAACAGCACCACAGACAGACGGACGGACGGACTTGTCTAATAGATAAGAGATATTATACAATTTCTGCTCTGCTACTATAATTAAACTAAAGTTTCACTAACACAACACACACTTTCTTACATATTGTGCCTACTATCTGCATGCATTAAACACTGAACAAATCTTTGGATTCCCGCTACGTTTAAAAGAGTGGCCCAATGTTGCCAGATCATTTATGATGTTCATGGCTTAAAATGAGACAAACATATTTTCAGTCTTTATAAAGTGTATATAGAGTGGAATTAATAGACGAAGAAGACTGATTATAAAATAACATTACAGATTTTTTTGAGTTCACATTTTTGTTATTGTTGTATTTTTTTTTATTCCGTAGTACCTACATTCCGTACATAATTTCTACAACTAAGTACTTCAGTAGGTAGAGATTATTATATGGTAGCTACATTGGACACTCTTTAAGAGCTCTATGCTTCGTGACGGCAACATCGCTGCCTTGGGCTACCGAATTTCAGGTATTAAGTTCACTACCGATTAAGTATGGATATTCTAGTGCTGCGTGCCACGCAATGGAAACGCTCAGTGGTAAATCAACCCAAGGGCGGATCCAGCTTTGGCGCCAGGGGGGGTCATATAGTTGTGATCAAGTCACAGTGGGTACAGATTGGAAGTACAGATGGACCCAGCCCAGGGGGGGGGGGTCATGACCCCCATGACCCCCCCCCCCCCTGGATCCGCCCTTGAATCAACCGGACTTATTTGACAAGTCTGATTAGCCGAGTAACAATAAAATCCATTTCCTTGGTAAGTGGCCTGTACCGCAGTGGCCTGAGGACCTAAGAGCAATGCCCTAAGTTGGGATATACTTCTTAGAGGTGGCAATGCCTTAAGTTGTGATTTTATATCACTAGCTTGTCCCGAGACAATCTAGACAAGTGTGGTGAGCTAATACCTCTAAATATCATAGGTAGGTATAAGGTATTCGTAAATATACCTCACGGCAGTAGTCCTTTAAACGCGGTATGTTTCATAATACCTAAAAAATATGATTTTCTACTTATGAGCTAATATTGTGTGATCGGTTTATTTAATTTTGTACATTATAAAACGGCATATTCGGAACAGCCACAAGTAGAAAAAGAGATCGTATTCACGGAAAAAAAGAAATAAATTTTATACTAATAGGAAAATTGGTTTGCTGATTTTAAAGTTACTAGGGACTTGTGTGAATAAAAGCGATATTAAGAAACTATTTAAGAATCCAATTTATAAAATGCTGGCAACACGTCCAATATTTACGTTTGCAGAAGGCCGCTAAGTCAAATGTCAACATGATAAATTAAAACGTTTTGCTTCAGTAAATTCCCTATGATTCATGGCACTTACGACATTTTATTTGGATATTGTATTAGCAGAATGTATTTTGTCCCTAATGTCAAAAGGACGCATGTATTAGACGTTATTAGGTTTAATATTCTAATAACACAAGCATAGTAACAAGAAGCAAAATATGGCATAGCACGTGATATTTAACGCAGTCATACTTCTATTATTCACGTTCTCTTATTAAAGTGCTTAAAAATTAATAGCTGGAATCAAGATCACACCATCGCCTCAGATTAAATAAAAAAGTGGCGCATTATTTCGTTTTCGCGTAGGACGTCTAAATCTTTGATAAAGTATCGACTTTTTAAAATAGGCTCACCGAAATTTACACCATTCAGCATACTCATACTCGACTTCGACTCGACGTCAGTATTGTTCGACTAACTAGGCATTAAGAAAATTTGTTATTGTGAGGTTATGTTATTGTAAGTGGTCCAAAATAAAGGTTTTACTTTAATAAGGAACATGCAAAAAGGTTAAAAAAACATAGTGGACGTTTTGAGTATAAAGCGTTTTTTCCACAAAAAATTCCAACATAAACAAACATTTAGGTTACATATTAATTACAATAGGTATTAGACTGGGTATCTACCTACAAGTTTAGATACTTACAATCAAAATCAGTTATAGTATGTGAAAGTTAATTTATTAATCAATATTTCTATTTAGTTTAATTAATAATTAATAACAAAACAAAAACAACTAAGTAGATGCTTTTGTCAATAAAACACAATTTGAGGTTAGTGCGGAACTTATACGTTCAATAGAAAGAACTTTCCTTTCTCTATGGTAGCGCGGTGAATTTGAATTGAATTTTGTTGTGTTTTAGACTGTAAGTAATGTTTTTCTAATAGAAACAACTGAATAGGAGTTTCATAGCAAAATGGTAGGTAACTATAGTCGCGGCACGATATGATGGCAGTTTTGACACATTGCAATAGTGACGCGAAAAATAAACCTGTTCGAAACCGGAAGCTCGAAAAAAAATACAAATAAAAAAAATGGTTGCCTGTAAAGTCGGTTTTACGGGCGAAGATTTTACGTGACAACGTCTTTTTCTCGGTAGAATATTTATTGATATGAATATAATTAAATTGCACAATAGGAACAAGGAATTGAATGAAAATAAGAATTGCACAAATTTTAACAATATAAATATATTTTGTTTACTAAAACATTGTACATGTAAACTTAAACTTAACACGAGAGACTCATCGTAACGTTACCGAGCGTTACACTTTTTCATAAGTGACTCCCAGCCGCAACCTAATTTAAGACGTTGTCACGTCAAAATACAAATCAAATACGAGTCACATCTAGGTATTAAAATTTTTGAAATTTTACCGTATTGCAATAAGTTGCTGATTATAAAGATTGAAGAAAACAAAAACATACATTTTTACTCACGCTCAGCGATCCTATATGTAACGATCTTATTTTGACGTGACAACGTCTTAAATTAGGTTGCGGCTGGGAGTCACTTATGAAAAAGTGTAACGCTCGGTAACGTTACGATGAGTCTCTCGTGTTAAGTTTAAGTTTACATGTACAATGTTTTAGTAAACAAAATATATTTCTATAGTTAAATTTTGTGCAATTCTTATTTTCATTCAATTCCTTGTTCCTATTGTGCAATTTAATTATATTCATATCAATAAATATTCTACCGAGAAAAAGACGTTGTCACGTAAAATCTTCGCCCGTAAAACCGACTTTACAGGCAACCATTTTTTTTTTTTTTATATTTTAATTTCGAACACGAATGTCGAGTTATATGGCGAATAACTACACTATAATTATATGACTATTTGTATGATATAACATTTATTAATGATAATAACAATAAAACACTTATTTAAATTAATTTACTTTATTTCCCTTTATTTTATTTCCCTTAAAGATTCTGTCAAAATGCCGGTGTTTTTGAGTTAAAAATGATATTATATTATTTTAATTGTTTTAAACTTGATAAGGTTATCTCGTTGATCAAAATATCATAGACACAAATGAAAATAATAAATGCAACGAACATCATTTATATACAAAGGGTATCAAACAGTTGACACCAAATTTTATAACACTTTCACAAAGTGTTGTTAAAATGAAATCTATTTATGGAACAAACAAGTCCATCATCGCACGCATCAAAATTTATTTGACCGTAAACTTCAAGTTTATTATTACGTATAACTTACCTTAGTATCCTTATTTAAGATACAAGATGTATGTAGCTTAATGCAGGCTTCATTTTACTTTCTTTCTTGCGAACACACTGATACAGTCTGTCTGGTTGAATCCGACTGATATTCATTAACATTTCACTGTTGGTCGCCGTGGTGGAGTGAGCGTATTTTGCCGCTAAAATAGTTTGAGCCGCGGAAGCACGTTGCACAGCGCGCGAACTCGAACTGTATCAAATTCAGAGTGTTGATCTCAATCCAAAAATTATTGGAAAGCTATTATTAGCTACTGGTGATGTGTGCCTATTCTATAATGAAGTGCTGTGGACGGAAAATTAATTGATTTCTTTTTATACAAGTCCCTTTTTAAGTAAAGGATAAAAAAAGGAGTGCGAAAATGTGTTTGAAGCGAATAGAGTTCGTGCTTTTGATTTTTGCACTGTATATGGATATCGGTAAGTTCAATAAACATTTATTGCAAAAATACTTTCGTTCGTCTTTAGCATGATGCATTAAATTATTAATTGGTTTTAAAAACTTGAGATCTTTCTTATCAACAAGCATCGATGGTTCAGTGGTAGAAAGCTCGACTGCCACGAGGGCGGTCTGAGTTCGATTCCCAGTCGAAGTATAAATGTGTAACACTAAAAGTTTCACTTGCATCAAGGTTTCATAAAACACACCAATAAAAAAAAATAGACATAAACTACTACTTTAATAAAAGATCTGCTGATATAATAAAATTTGGGGAAAATAGTACGGTGATAGTTTTTTAGATTTAATTGCTAATTTGCTTCTGAGTTGCGTACCTACTCAATTTCGTTTCGTCCACGAGCATTTAAACCGTTTTTTATTATTCCGGAATATCACCGCACAAATAGGTTAGTCTTCTTTTTTGTATTCACCAAGAGCTATGGTGAATACGTGACACATTCTTTTTGACCAGTTTTCCGCTCTACTTGGCCATTGCTGTTTAAAGAGAAACTGTGATTTTACCATTGCGCACGATAATGCAAATCGCGTGATCACAGTGTTACAATGTTACTGTGTGATAAGAAATTAATAAAATCTGCATTGGAGAAAGAAATCTAATAATTGAGTGTCAAGTGAAATCCGATTTTTAAAAGATTATTAACTACTCTACTATACTAGATATCTATGGGCGTGTTGTTTGAAACATAGTGAAAGACTATACTTAGTTTATATACTAGAGACAAAATAAAGTCAAAATTTGACACTTTAACTAAAGTATAGAAATTTTAAGTAAGTACGATGAAGTACGAGTAGCATATGTAACGGGCAACGTGATTAACTGGGCATTATTAATAAGGACCGGCCATTATTAATAATGCCCGAGAGCGATGGACAAAGTGATTAATTTATCACGGCTAATGGCCGATCAAAGTGTTAATAATGCCCGACGGCCCGTGCTCCATGTAATAAGTCCCCCTCCTCACATCAAAACTACCCCAAAATTCCACCATAACTAATGGAATTAAGTACCTATTTTTTAACTATTATGTTTAATAGTTTACTTTTTGCTAACAATTCATGAAAATTTTGTAAGTTTACTTTCATTTACTGCTGTACCAGCTATCCTCGCGTTTAGACTTTATCACCACTTAGCATCAGGTGGGGTAGAGTCATTTGCCTACCTCGCTATTTAAAAAAAAATATAATAATAATAAACAAAAACTCTACAGTTCACCTATTTTATTACTTTGCCCAAAATTTCGGTGGGCATTATACATAATGGCCGGGTTAATCATGCTGTTTTAATTACATTGCCCAATCAAGCCGGGCATTACGAATACATACTGGCCATTATTAATAGTGCCCGGACTTATCAAATTGCCCGTAACATATATATACTGTATAGCACACTGCCTTCGTCTTAATTTTTTTCCTTACAATCAACCGATCATACTTGTAAATCTTGTAGCTACTTACTTACTTCCAAACAAAAAATCATTACTTGCATTTCCTTTTTATGCTTCCGAATACTTTCTTTTTTTGATGTGATTATGAGTTGGAGTGATTAAAGTTGATTAATAATAGTAATCTTTACATTTTGTACAGATTATCTACACAAGTTTAGTATGAAGCACAATTTAAATTTTTCTTACATATTGAACATACCTTATAACTTATTCACAGTAAGCGAAATTTATAGTGTCATTATTACTTTTATAATATAAGTTTCGCATTTAAATTCTGTAATGACAACGGAAGCGTATCCTATGATACCTATAGGGAGAATGGGCAATGACCACCAACCAACACACGCGTTAGGTATCATCGCGTTTTGTTTTTTCCTATACTGCCGTGCTGCAGTACTATTCTATTCCGGATCGGATGCGGATTCGCGCGAGCAAATTCTATAGACTGCTGTTCCGTAAGAAGTCACTTTTCACTGCAGAGTTCGCTGCAGATCTGAAATTTATTTGAAATTCGTGTTCTGCATTGGTATTCTGACAAATGTCAATAATCTAATACTGGCTGCTTCTACAGACATAGCGAACTTTTATTTATTTCTTTATTAAGGATCACCAGCGAATGATACAAAGAATAATTAACATCTAACACAATTTCACAAAACAAGAAACAGTGTACATTCTATTTAAGGCGACCACAACATGCAATATATGAGCAGACATGATTTTTTAAACATAATTTTTTGCCGTGTAGTGGCGTAATGCATATCAAACTAATGTCTTAATGGCAGCTACCGAAATCGAAAGTGAGATTTCATGTTACAGAATCGTACTACTGATTTTGAATCCGCGATGCAAAGTGAGTTTGTTCTCATTACGGTATAGCACCACGGCTGGTCCGTGCGATCTGTTAGATAAGGTTATGTTATTTTTATTTGTGGTGAATGTTCTGCATGCTGTATCTACTTAAGCGTAGCGAAGTATTCCGTGCCTCTGCATGTTCACTGGCCTAAAAAGTCTTTAGTATTCATTACTGTCACTTAGAAAATCACACGCATTTTAATTCATCTTAATTCTTAGTTTCTTTAAACATTTTAGTTTTAAGACACTTGTTTTAAGTTACAATATTTAAAAGTATGAGCTCACTTATTCAGATTATTAGCATTTTAAAACAGTAATCTTTACGATATCATAATTTTCACAAAGTAAAAGTACGGCCGACGACGTTCAAAAAACAAAAAAAATGTGCTCTCTTTTCACTTCACCTTTTATCTTTTTTGTACCGAACATTTCTTTACTGATAAATGATATAAGTAGCGTTATTTGTAGGTCGCAAAAAATATTTTGCCGTTTATTTTACGTTTTATTTAATATGAGAGTGATGAATCGGAAATATGAGTGAATTGAAATCAGATGTCAGATAAGTATTCTACCACCATACTGACGTCAGGCCGCGTTGTTCCATAATATATAAATTTGTATAAGTTAAAGTACTGGAGAAAACTAACCTTCTTCTAAAATAAATACACATCCTAATTATGTATTTGACGTGACATTAACTATAGTAAAATTTAAGTACAGAACAACGCGGCCTAGAATTTGAAATAACGCTTCGAATTAGTGATTATGTATTTGTGATGGTACCTTATTAACGTTTGTCGGGGTAGGGAATGGAGTTAATATTAAGCAACTCTGCTATCTAAGGCGTTTTTTTCCTCGCAGCCGGGGGAGCGGATGTGAAATCCTCATGATACCCTTCAGCCGGCTGTAGGGTTATGTCAGACTCTTACTGACTAAAACACCCGCGAAATTTAGACGCGACCGTTTGGAGATTTTTTTGCTGCCCTATGTTGTAAAAGGCTGTATAATTTCACAACTTTGTCTAAAAAAATAAATTAAAAAACAACCACCACCATCTTTTTCTAAAAAACAAATAGATGCATAGTATCCAAAAAATTATCTTGTTGTAAAACTTGTGTAAAACTATAAAATAAAAAGTGCTTGTGAAAATAAAAACAATAAGTTCATTCAGAAACTTTTATTTAAACTAATATTAAAAAAGTTTAACATGGTAGCAGAGCGTGGTTGCGCCAAACAAATCTGAAGAACGTAAAATCATAAAAACCGAAGAAGCATTATAACATGGATAACCTCAAAAACATAGAAAGGTTAGTTGATGAGAAATCATTTCCATTATGGAAATTCCAAATAAACATTTTATTGAAAAGCGAAGGGATAATAGACCTGGTGCAGTCAGGCATTTCCGCTCATAAAAGAGATGAAAAAACAATCCAACTAGATGCACAAGCGCAAAGAATAATAACTAGTACTATTGATAAAAAACTGTTGTCTACATTATTGTCTTGCGAAAATTCGAAAGCTATGTATGACAAATTACTTGCCATTTATGAGCGAAATTCCGACCAAAGGAAATGTCAGTTGCTACAAGATTTTTTATGTACAAATACGATACAAATAAAGATATGACGCATCATGTTGGCATTCTAGAAAACATTGCCCACCAACTTAACAGCTTGGGCGAAAAAATCAATGAGAAAATGCTCATATCAAAAATATTATCAACATTGCCAGATCAATACAGACATTTTTTGACAGCATGGGAATCCACTCCACTCACTGAACAAACTATAGTAAATTTAACTGCCAGATTATTAGTGGAACATCAGAGATCTAGAGACATGAATGAATTCCAAAATAGTACAGCATTTAAAGTCACACACAAAAAATTTCAAAATAATAAAAAACATTGCTCAATTTGCAAAAAAAGACAATCACATGGAAAAGAATTGCTACTTCAAGAATAAAACACAGTGTACAATTTGTAAAAAATATAACCATAAAGAACGAGATTGCTTTTGGAATAAGAATAAAAATAATAATAAAAAGGAAGGAAATGCGATGTCGTTTTATACACAGTCTGAAAATTTCATTGTTGATTCAGGATGCTCTTCCCATATGACCAATAATAAGTCAATACTCACTAAACAAGAAAACTGTGCAATACAAATACAAACAGCGAAGAAGGACAATACACTTGAATCTAATACTATGGGAATAATACAAACAGATAATGTCAACTTCACAAATGTACTTTATGTGCCTAACTTAAAGAAAAACTTACTCTCTGTACACGGAATTACTAAAAAAGATGGAGAAGTTACATTTACTAAAAACGAAGTAATAATAAAGAAAAATGACAATATTCTACTAAAAGGTACTAAAAATATACATGGCTTATACAATATAAACTTATTAACTAATATTGAAGATGCCTTGTTATTAACAAAAACTGAAACTGCAGAAAATTGGCATATTAAATATGGACACCCAGGAAAAGAAACTCTTAAAAATATAATAAAATCTGTTGAGGGTATAAATGTAACAAACAAAGAAATAGACTCACTTACCTCTACATGTGATGTCTGTATGAGATCCAAACAAACAAGACTGCCATTCTATTCACGCCATAGAGTTGAAAGAAAAATACATACCATTCACAC